TGTTGGGCGAGATCATACATACGGATGTCCGCTCTTTGCTTTCGCCAGCGAAGCTTGAAGCTGGAGCGTTTGCAGGATGTTGCACTTCTTGCATCTATGTCATGAAAAAAGAACCCCGTCTTTGGGTTGCTAGAGTTTACCAACCCACCTCGGTTTAGTCTCCACCGCCTGCGTGCCCACAAGGGGGTGGGCTTGAAAGCATCGAAGCGAGTCTATAGCGCCTTCCGTTTCCCGCATCACCGGTCTTCAATCGGGGCGCACATCGCAGTTGATAGGCGGACAACTGTGTGCCGGGGTCAAGATGAGGCCGCGGGCTGCTGGTCGCCTCTGTGCCAGAGGTGTTTTACCTGTATGCTGTTGCTTCTGACTTTCCCGTGCCCTTTATGACAAAGTTGGTTTTGCCTTTCCTAACCCGGAAGATGGCGAACCGACCAAAGAGGATCCTGGATTGACGGCTGAGCTTCGCAGCCAAAGCTGTGCTGCCTCCACTTCCAGGCTCCTGACACTGCTGGAACCAAAGGGTGGCGGCCTTGCTGAACGCAGTTGACATTCCGCCGGACCGTTGGGTACCCGGGGTTGATGCCGTTCCTAGCCGCGTCCCACCTGAGAAGGAGAATGACTTTGCTGAACAGCAACGTTAAATGCAAGGGAAACTCTATATTCAAACTGCAAAGAACTAAACCAGGCTCTGAAGCTCCATGGCGGGTGTGTTAGAGCCTGAGCTACAGACCTGGGCAACTGGACTCTTACTCTTTGCCTTTCAGAGTTCAACTCCAGGTTCAACTCCAGATTAAAGTTCGGAGTTGATGCCTGACAGTGACAGGTCGCGTTGCCGCAATGGAGAAAGCAGGAAAAGAGACCGGCGAGCAAGTAAGGCACCAGCCTGGCCTCCTTCCCTACTGCTTGGCCAAATCCATTGTCGCTTCAGGTAAAATCAGGCTTGTTAATGACGCACGAGGCCAGGCGGTGGCACGGTGAGCCGTCGCAGCTCCCTACAAGCCAGAGTGTCAATTCCCGGTGGAAGGCAAAATCCGGGTATCTTCGCAGAGAGGCGTTCTGAATTGCCAGAGTGACTCCGTAGCCAAAACGCTGCAGCCACACCAAGCTGGACCGTCAACGCAACGAACGTGAGCCACACAATTCCGTAAGATCTGCCCACAGAAGTCCACTTCAGAATCTCAACATCCATTCCGCATCCACCAACGGTCAAACTTTTGTTCAGCTGCTTAATTAGAGAATGTGAAAAGTTGGTTGAAGGTCTCAAGAAGCGAACTCAACTGTCAACACCAAGAACAAGGCTGGCATTATCTGGTGACAGATGCAGTTTGGAAGTGTAGACATCTTGCTGCAGACATTTTTTGCGCCCACTCCCACAAACAAGATGCTTTCAAAGATCTGGCACCTACCTGGCACCTGTCTGGCCCCTCGCGCAGCGCGCTCCGCGTTGAGTCCCCTAAAAGGTCTTCTAAAAGGTCCTCTGATTTTACCCCGTGCACACTTTCCAGACCCTCACAACGGCAGCCCCAGATTCTCACCCTCGAGTCGCTGGTGGCGTCTCCTCTTCTCACTGGCCGGTTTTCTCCCACCGGCCTTCGTTGCAGACCCTGATCCAAGCTCGGCTTGGCATCTTGGCCCGGCAGCTACCAGACTAAGAGTAGGCGATAGCAGCTTATCGAAGACCCTGCTAGTGTGCTGGCGCTTCGAGATCTTCTCTCCAGCGGGACGGATTGCCTGTCCCTTCTGTCACTTCCCCTTTCTTTGCCGGTATGCGAGGTCAAGGTCAGCCCTCAGAATTTCGGCACGCGAGAAGTTGACTTTGCTGATCGTGCTCTTATGCTGCGGTCCTGCACGGCTAGTCAGGCTTTCCGGGTGTGCCTCACACCCCTGTTGGCAGTCTCCGTTGCACTGGCCCAGTTCCGCGACCCAATACTGCGGGGGTTGCCCAAGGGCCGTGTCTTTGATCTATCGTGGTTTGAGTTAGCGCGTCCGGAGATTTGGTGGTGGTTGTTATTGGATGAACTGGATGGACTCCGATTCTCGCTGTCCAACGCTAAGGCAGGCATCAAGTCACCTGTTCGTGACGGTAGCCTTATCCAAATGTCCCTCGCACCTTGGAAAAAGCCCACCAAAACCGGCAAACGCCACCGCGCCGGCTCCAACACTCGTAAAGGTCGCGCCAGTCAAGCACAATGGTTTGCGGTTTGTGGAGATTAGAGTTAAAGCGGAGGTGCCGGCCTCTCTTGTAGGCCAGCTCAAATCGCGATTACTGTCCGCATGATGGAAGACTTCCATCGTGGACTTCTTCTGGCTAGACGCGGAGATTTCGATCCTCAAATGTTTTCTTACCCAGGTGTCTACAAAGGCACCTTCCGCCTCTTGCTTCCGTTGGATGATACCTCTCTGGGTTTGCAAGCACAGCCTGCAATCCCCATCCAGTCCGCTGGGCTATTGCATGCCGTATCGCCTTCGAACAGCTACCACCACCTTAGAAGCTCAGTGCAGTTGTAGTGTTCTGGTTGCACGGCCCTCGAAAAATGGACTTCTACTTCGCACGCCTGTGGTGCCATGCTCTCTTCGACGCATACGACTGCAGGGCCCAAGTTCAAATCCATCGCTTGGTGGCGTAAGAGTCCAATCAGGATGCTCTGCCCAATGGCAGCCGTCCACAATACCGGCTGGGCCACCCTTGGGGACAGGACAGCTGGAGAGCAGCGGCTCATGAATTTATTGAACAGGGAGGCATTGGTCCCGGCATTCAGCTTCCGTTCATTACCGAAGAGCTTATGCCGCACCTCCATAAGCCTGACGTTGACGCGCTCCAGCACGGGTTTTTCCGCCTCAAGACCTTGTATGAGGAGGGCCAGTATCAACTGCTGTACCTCCTGCGGAAATCTCATTTCCCGGCCCGTGGCAGCGACATACAACGCCAGTTGGATCAATGGTCCCTCTCGACCACGGAGCGTGCATGGTAAGAATGAGGGCCCAATCGGTCAGTTCCACCACAACATTCGACATACGTCGAAAGGTCCTTTTCTGCCATTGCCATTGCCTGCTAGCCGTGGACTTGTGGACTTTCCGTGCGCAATCGTGACACAACAAGGCATCGGGGCTGTCCGTTGTTCGACGGAACTAGAACGGCGGCCGGAGCTTTGACTTGGGCTCCACCGATTGTCTTGGACAGCTCTGGGCGACGGCCCACGGTTGTTGTGGATCGGTCGCTGAGGCTTCGTAGCTTTACTGAACGGCCAACACCGGCAAAGCCTGTGCGCCGCAGTTAGTTGTCGACCTCGGTTAATTAGCCCCTGTTTCACCGCTGTTTTCTTTGTTTGTTGGTTTGTTTGTTTGTAGGGACCGAGTGCTACAGCTGTAGTCGACGAGGCCCGCTCACGCCAAAAAAAGCATCTATGTCATGAAAAGCGATTTCAGTTTCAATAAAAGCACACCATTCGAAAGTTGTTTGAAACTGACTGAGTGGTTGCAGCTTTTCTTTTTTTGGCGTGGGCGGGCCTCGTCGACTGCGGCTGTGGCACTCGGTCCCAGTAAGAAGTGAATGTAGACAAGAAGAGAATGAAGAACTGTACAAAAAGATCCTAACGGGTGAAACAGGTCGCGACTTGCAGACTTAGCCAGCAGGGATCGTTCGACCTTCTAAGTGTAGCGTCTCTCAGTTGGCTCTCCAAAGCGGCAACAAGTTGCACAGAAGCCGTACTGGTAAATTCCAGTTCTCCGACATGTGGGTTTTGAGGAGATACCCAACGTATGCGATGTGACAAAGAGCCGCGCGCCGGCAGACCATCATCAGGAGAACGCGACAGGCCAACCATTCCCAGCTTCCCATGGATGGGCAACGCAAGGGCCAAACGACGAGTGCACAACGGGCCAGCCCAGCTTCCCACTTGGGAATCGCAAGGGCTACGCACAAGAGCGCATCGCGCCGAGTGCGCTGAACCGAGGTCTGGCTGTCCGCCGGACATGGCTTCCCAGTGCAGACGTCGCAGAAGGTGATCAGACGGGTCACCACGGTGCAGACCGATGAGCCCAGCTTCCCAGGAGTGGGTATCGCAAGGGCCAATTGTAAGACACGAGTTGCTTAGCACCGTCCGACAATCCACCAAGACAAGTGTCGCACGGAGAAAGATAAGCCTGAACCCTGGTGGTCCAAGGTAATGAGAACCGGTAGCGCCAAAGGACAAAGAAGCAAGCGGGGCCATCCAGCTCTTTCAAACCAGGTTTAGCTTCCCGGAGGGAGGCATCGGCGAGGTCAAGCGAGAATAGCAGGAGGCACCGCCCAGCTTCCCAACATGTGGGTATCGCAATGAGTGGTTGCAGCTTTTCGTGGCTATTGGTCGAGCTAGAGGCCAGAGAGTTTCGTCTTGAAAGAGCACTACATCCACTATGCAACTGCAATACCTTATTTTTTTTGTGGCCGGGTGCTTGGTGTTTCATGGAGCCTTATTCTTCCACATTCGGAAGTAGAAGAAGACCTTCTGAGCTTTGGTTGTTTATGAGGGCACATTGAAAGCCCGAACCCCGACGTGTCGTTCTGTCGAACACATAGCTACAAAGCTGACGCCGCGAGAAACCAACAGGCAGGTGCTACAATTGGATTAATAGATTTTTGATTGTGGCATGCACAAATGTCCGGCACGGATTGACAACGGACGCTATTCTGGATTTGGGTAGAATGTCCTTGAAGCCCGTATTCTCAGCGTAGAAGGACCCCAGGAGGGGTCATGATTTGATTCGCGGTATTCCTACGAAAGGGTCCGGCTGGAGAGTTGCGTAGCAGCTGTATGAGAATGAGGGCAGAGCCTCGTAGCGCAAGCCCGGCATGGAAACCAGCAGACCAGGAACTCAAATTTCATTTTCGCCCGTTATCACGTCAATCCTTGAGCACTAGACTCACTAGACGTTCTTCGCTGAGTGTTCACACCGAGAGCCTAAGCTTGTAGCTGCAAAACGTGCCATGCACGATTCTGGGGCGTGGCGTTAACGTTGCTATGAACTGGGAACGGCGACATTGGTGGCCGTGGCTTTCCTGCCATTTTCATTGTTTTCGTGTAGTTCATGCAAAGATGTTTCATGAAAGATATTGTTTAGCTGAACCAGTGCTGCACATGCATGGGGTCAGTCCCTCTGAATCCTTAGGCCGACCCAACTTGATTCAAAAGCATACAAGTGCGAACCCAGCAGTTATCAGGACCTTATGGCGAGGACCCCTTGAACCCAAAATCCTCTGGCTCATAACATTAATCCCACTGAAATGCCATGCTTTTGCAGGTTCGGACTGTGGAAGCTGCTCCTACTATCGGCATGGATAGCTGCCGGTGGCGCTTCCAAACTTGCCGTTGTTCGGAACTTTGCGACCGATGCCGAGGCGTAGACCTTCTGCGGGCGCATGGGCTTAAGTTTTAGGGTTAGAGTACTTATGAACTCATGCGACGTAATTAGTAGGTTCTACAGTGAGTAGGGCCAAAAAAGATTCCATGTTTTGGGTTATCAAGATTGCGCTATCGGAGGTTAGAGGTTGTTCTTGGAAAGTTTGTCTGCGTAGAGTCTTCATGTCATGAAACATCTTGTAATTTGTTGTGGTCACTGACATGAGACTGCATGACAGCGCACGAACAAAATCAAGTCGGGCAATCTAACGTAGACCTGGGAGTTTAGCATGGGTGGATATGGGGATCCCGAGTTGTCAAGGCTGCATCTCGATTTTGTTCCTGTCAAGACTTGACTATACCCCAGATTATCACAGACTGCTGTTGCGAAGCACCTGCGAACTGCCCCATCTGCGTTAATCGCGAAAACACGCGTTTTGGGGTTGTGTATCTGTGGGTTCCCCGATGGCTGCCGAAAGTGTGGCTTTTGCCGTCGGTTAGGTGCTGTGTTTAGTTCCAGCACAGCCTTCAGCCAGACAACTGCAGGCAGAGTCCATATCCGGGGTGTTCGGGCTCTGGAACGAAGCTCCTGAACCTGCACTTTCTGTTGGGGTTTCTTTAGAGCATGGTGCTTCAGACTTTGGAACTTGGGCTTAGGTTCAGGGTTCCGGGGTTTAGGTACATGGATAGACAAGCCCTGATTCCTCAAAGTTTCCATTCCTTGCCTTGAACCGGAACCCCACTAGAACTCTAAACACCAAAACCCTTAAGGCCCTACGCCCCGAAACGCTTAAGCCTCAAGACCCTAAACCACCAAAACCTTTAAGGCCCCAAGCCCCAAGCTCTTACGGCCCTGAACCCCCAAAACCCTTAAGGTCCAAACCCCCCAAACCCCTAAAACCTCAACCCAGAACCCGAAACCTCAAAGCCTGGATCCCAGTCTTTTGACCTTGTTTCTCGTTCCTTTGACACGCAGTTGGTCTGAAGGCTTCTGTTGCAGCTCAGGCCTGAGAAAGCCGTAGCGATTGGGTTTCAGGGTCTGGGGTTCAGAGTTTAGGGTGTTGGAGTTTGGGATTGGGGTTTGGGTTTCAGGGTTTAGGGTTTGGAGTTTATGGCTTTGGATTTTTGGATTAGGTTTTAGGGCCGTTTGTTCCTCGGTGCTGCGTCTAGGCTTGGCTGGCTTGTGTTAGCGCCTCGAGATTTCAGGCCTTGGGAGTCTGTCCCGTAAACCGTAAACCCTGGCCCAGAATTAGACCAAAAGCCTAATTTTTCTAGGGTTCCTATAAAGGGTTTCGCATAAGAACCTTCACGAAGTAACTTAAAGGCAGACTCATTTGCGCTGCCCACAACGCCCAGACACCGCCCTGCTCCTCCACACCGATTGATGCAGAAGTGGACCTAATCTTGGTCTACAACAGAGTGCTGGAGGCGGGCAGCTACTGATTCGGTGCTTTTCGGATTCTTGCCCACATCTAGAATCTAGAACCTGTAGGATCTAGGGGCCAGTGGTCTGCGGTGGTTCCTTGCAAACGGAAGGAATATAGATCCTACAGTCGTTTACGAGCAATGTTCGACTGCCGAACTGATACCCCCTGAACCCGAACCGCCAAACCCCAAACGACCTGAATCGGCTGTACACCTCAACGACAGGAAAGTGCTCTCGCCACAGCGGCTGTAGAGACACTACGCTCTAGATTCGAGTCGCTCGGCCATGTCCTGGTACAGTGTCACTTCCGGAAATGATAATAAGAGGGGTTGTATGAGGGTTTTGCAAACGCCTCATGTGCGTTGTAGGGTTGTATCAGGGTATTTCGAGGGTCAAACAATTCACAAACAGGTCTCAGGATCAGGGTGTCCCTCCTCATGGACCTTTGGGCCCTGTCGGGTTTGGGGGTTCAGGGCAAGTCCTAGGCGTCGCCGCGAACCAGAGGCTTCAGCGAGAGTTTTGGGGTTTGGATAATTTCAATCAGGAAACGACTTGTTTTCACCGTTATCATTTTTGCGGATTAGTTTCAGGGCAGTATATAGCGTTTCAGGTTGCCGTGAGGCATTTCCGGTAGTATGTAAATCCCCGAGCCGTTTGGGAATCGGAACACGGTCGCGGGGTTAGCTTTCAGGTGGCACGATTGAGAGATCGGATTCAGAGTCTCTGGTCTGCTTCAAAGCAGTGTCCCCAAAGCCTTGAACTTTAAACATCCAAGCCCAACGCGGAGGCCCCAACAAAAGCATAGATCCAAATCCGAAGCCGTAATCCATAAACCCGCAAGCTTATCTAAGGGGTCGGTTGGACCCATGGGCGACTTGCTTCAGCAGCTTCCAGGTGCCGGGGTTGGGGGCGCTGTGGGGTTTCGGACCTTCAGAGAAGACTTCCTGGTTTGGGGTGTAGGGTTGTTGGGTTCAAGGGTTGAATTGGGGGGTTTTAGGCATCAAGGGTACAGCGGGATTGACAGAATTTTGGGGGTTTGGGCGTTGGAGGAAAAGGCGCTTCGAGGAAGAAGCTTTGTGGGGTCTTCGTGGTTAGACATCAGGAACCTAGAGAATCAGCCGCATGGACGAAGCCCGAAAATGCACGAAGCAGGTTCAGGAGATCAATCTCACGTCCAGCGAGGACATCTACGACACCTTGCCAGAGCTTGAGGTTTGTTGGGCAGTGTTCATTTTAGGGCTCGTTTAGGTTTTCGGCTGGACGGTCTTTCAGACATGGCCGTAAAGCCTTTCGACTTCCAAGTGTTCGGGCTCGGGTTCTGTTTTTGCTTCGCGTCGAGGGTCGACGTCTTCGGATCCGGTGGTCGCCTGAGGGTTCAGAGCGGTATAGAGGCCCAGAATCTCGGGTTTGGGAGCCTTTTTTGCGCCTTGAACTCGGAGGGGGGGGGGGGCTGTCTTTTCGCTTGTTTTGCATCAGAGTTGCGAGGTTGGGGATCTAGGGACATGGTTATGGTTTAGGTTTTGGGTTTGGGAAGATATAAGCTTCGGGGTTTGGAGACCAGAGTTTGGGGTTTGGGGCTTGTGGCAGATGGCTTCTGGGGAGCTGAGAGGAACCAGGATGTCCTTCACGGAGCTCTTGCTGGGTTTAATTCTACTTACAGCTTCTATGCCAATGCACCAAGAAGGGGCAGTTGAAGCTCTTCGGGCCGTAGAGCTTTGGGCCGTAAACCTGAAGCAACCCCCCTCAACCCCAAGTGAGAAGGGTTATATAAATCGAAAGAGCTTCCATCAATCTTAAGGCCTTGAGAATTTCTCAGGATCGCCGTGGCTACGAGATTCGGCGGGATTGGGTGCACGGCCCGAACACTGTCTTTCGCACTCTCCTGCGGAATTTCATCGCCCCTGGGCTATTATGAAGCGTCACAGGTGGTTTCTGAGTTTCGGGAGTCTTGACCCTTTCGGAGGGTTTGGTTGCACCAAAGTTCCTGGCCTTCCGGTTGAGAGGGCCTGAGGGTTCCAGGGCCGGGGGCTCGGGATGGTAGAGAAGTACGGTAAACTTTCATAAAGTTGGAAACCGGATTAAGGCCAAATAGTGCTGGGATTCCCTATACATTACTCTTAAGGATCGAGGCTATTGTGTTTCCAACTTTTTGGCTTCGACTGTAAGCGTCCTCCAGATCCTTCTCTTCAGTCAAGGGTGTGCCAGATGGGAGTTTCCAAGAATTAAGGGTACCTTATTTTGGGGTCCTTATAATAAGGATCCTATTATCTAGGGTACTCTATTAGGGTCCCCAATTTTCGGCAACTCCCAGATCATCTCATGGAGTAGTGAGTAGTCGCAACACCACGGCATCGCTTTTTCGAGGTAAGCTTAGTGAGCGTCGAGGATCCCTAAACCCTAAACCCTAAACCCTAAATCCTAAACCCTAAACCTTAAACCCTAAACCGTAGGGCTTTTGGGGACGGTGGTTCCATGTCTCCCTCGAGGTCGAAGCATGTAGGTAAACGGCCACGCGGTTTGTCCAGAGGATGAGTACCGGGTAGTCGGGTTCACTTGAATTCCGTTTACAGTCCCTAAGCAACCGTACCAGATAAAGTGCGAAACCCTATTTGATCAAGGTTGAGGTTCCACGCGGAGAATGAAGAGGTGTAGCTCCAAAGGCTTAAGAGTTTCGGGATTGGGATAGAAGGTACGAGCTTTTGTAACCATGGTTGTCTGTGTGATGTCGGAGGTAGTCCGAGTTCCCTTCAAAGCATGCAGCTAGAGTCCAAGATGGAAGGATGTAAGCCCCAGTGGGAAGCAAACTTCAGCATTCGGGGGCAGGCGGCTGTGGCTTAAGGGCGAGACATGTAATACGGTGTGTCGCTTGTTTCACTCGCACATCAGATCGTCAGCAGGCGCGATTGCTCTAGATTTCACCCTCAACTCTTGATCGCTCTGAGCTTAAAGACTTTCAGAAAATCCTTTCAGGGTTTTCGGGTTTGAGGTTTCAGGATTTGGGTTTTCGGGTTTAGGGTTGAAAATTCTGGTTTGAGCTGTTAGGGTCAAGGATTTGGGATTTAGGACTGTTTGGGGTTGCGAGGGGGAGGTGAGATCTGTCGCGAGCCCCGGTTGCCCGAATTCCGAGCTTGATAAGGACCGCGCATGGGGCAACTACAGCCACTTTTATTTCATGGAGTTTGATGCCGTGCCTGGGCTAATTCCTGGAGGCCACACCCTAAAGCCCTTCGAACAGGTTTAAGCCGAACCCACATGCACAGACCATCACGAACCTGTAAATCCTTAGCCTATCACAGGAAGTCCGTAAAGAAGCTTGAAGCTTCAGATCAGAGGCTTATATAGCTTCTGAAGTGTAGCCCGTTCTGGCGTGCTCTCTGGAGTTTTTTGATGCAGGCTCGCTTTACTCCAAGTGCCACAGCGTGGTGGGTACTTCACCGGGAGCTTTAGAGGAGGATTAGTAAAGGGCCTTCTGAGGCACCCGACCAGAAGCTTTGGGTTCAGACTCCACACCAAATATCTCAAACAAACATCCCAAAACGAGAGTGTTTCTTTGAACATGTCTCAGGGGTCTCAGGGTTTGGGGTCGTAGGGTTTTCGGGTTTCAGGGTTGATGGTTGCAGGTAAGACGGTAAGCCCTAAACTCGAAAAGAATCCCAGGTGCCAGTGCGAAGCAACTGGTTGGATCAGTTCATTTTGGAGGCGGTGTTGAATTTTGTGGGGGAGGGTTCGCTACCTTGCAGCACTACTGGGCTTGCGGGTGCGAGAATGGGAGGTTGGCGTCCAAGCAAAGGATTTTGGGTATCGCCCTCTGTTTAGATTTTTCGGGGAAATGCATCATCAGTCACACAAACTCAGCCTTCCAGGCCCCATGTAACCGTAGTCGAATACAGTCAAGCTGCTTTTCTAACTTTCTTGTGCCTCCACATTTCGGATTTTTCGATCTGGCGGCTTGAGCTGGTGGCTTCGGAGTGCATTGGGCTTGTGCTCTGGGGTCTGAGGTTCGACTGCTGTTTACTATACCACGGGTTTTTGGCTTTGGGGATTTGGGCCTTAGGGCGTGTCTCCTGGAAACTGCATTCGGCGTGAAGTTTGTGGCTTCAACGAGGATCTGGAGGTCAGGTTCACGTTCCGAGTTCAGGAATAGCACAGGCATTTTATTCGACTGTTCATCTTACTAAATGTCGCCTTATACTATATCATACGTGCGTACATATGTATGTATGCATGTAGGTATGTAGGCAGGTAGGTAGATATGTGCGTGTGTGCATAGTACTAGACCGAACTAATGTGTTGCTTTTGTGCTCTTTTTGAGGGTCGATGCCAGGCGCTGCGCTACCCGGATGCCGCGATACGCGGCAGCCACTACCGAGGACCTCAAGATTGGTAAGACTTCTACCGGGGTTTGGGTTATGTAGGGCTTGGAGTTCGCCGTTGAGGGAGCTTAGGGTTTTCGGTGATTAGAGTTGAGAGCTGAAGCCTTCGTGGTTTTGCCAGGACTTTACATGCACACTTGTCTCAAGGTTCGTACATCTCGAGACAAGCCTTGTCCAGCTTGCATTCCTGAAACTTGCCTAATACAGCTCTCTTTCGTAAATTGCATCCCTTGGCATTCCAAAGATCTTGATGGCGGTGGCAAATGTTTCCTAGGTTGGAAGAAGCCTGCACGACTGATAAGTTTGGTCTTGGCTTGGACTCGCTTACCGGATTAGTTCAGGGTTTTGGGTTGTTCGCGGTTTAAGGTTGCTGCCCGCATTCCTCATTGCCGAGACCTGCCCGATTGAATAGTGTGTCGGCAGGCAGTGGTGGGGCTAAAAGTTACGGTCGCTGTGTCCTCAATTGCAACCAGAGCATCCCTGCCTTGACAGCCTGAGCCCGAGACCGTCAACTTCAATTTCTAAGACTTGCAATCCCATATTCTACTAAGCCCGAAACCCTGAAAGCCCAAACTGTGGCCCCTTGGCTGCACAACACTTTCGTAAACCACGAGTGAGAGCATGCTGAATGCAGGTGTTTCAGCCTCGAAGGTGTTGAAACCGTGGGTGCCCTCAAAAGCATCCATCATCATCGAAGCAACCCTCCGACCGCAACTACAAGGAATGGAATTTGGTGTTCTGAAGCCGAAACCTCAAGAGAGACCAAAAGCACGAACTTCCTCAACCCCAGTCCCGAATGCCTGACTGCAACCGTTAGGCTTGTGCCCTTCTGCAAGGAGATACCTGGGACACATTTCTAAGAAATATGCCCATGGATCTGCGGCCTGGCAGCAGTTCGCCGTAGTTTGGGGCTTGGCATGATGAGTTTGGATGAAGGGGTGCAGGGTTAGGGGTTCAGTGTTTAGGGTTCAGGCCTTGGTGCTTAAAGAGTTCTGCCCCTGCAACTCTAGCGGCCTTTAGCAAGGGCGGAACCATGTTCAATAGAAGCGCATTCAGGCAGGCGGCAAGCCTCTATCCTAATAGATCCTCGTGCTTTCCATCTCCAGGGAGCCCTGACTACAGGTTTCCCGAAATCCAGAAGATACTATCTTTTGTGTCCCCTGCCAGGCCCGGATCCTGCTTGGGCAAAGGGGGATCGGTGCACTACTTCAGAACCCTGTGGTCAGAGCTTTGTCTTGAAGGTATCGGCTTAGAACACTCAGACGAAGACGGAGCGACGCTCCGCCTTCCGAAGTTCCGAGATCCCGAACGCGAGTCGGTGGTGTTGGGTGAGGATCTAGGAAGCCAAAACAGGAGCCTCAGCAATAAGAGCGACATTCCTGCAGGGCATCCTCATCATTTCGTTTATACGAGTGCAATGGCATCTATATGTATATGTATGTATCTATGTATCCCTCTCTCTCTCTCTCTATATATATATAAATATATATATATATATATATATATATATATACATATAGTACATGTATATATGGTTTTTCCCGGATTGCTGACTGCTGACGGGGCCTAACCCTGATCACAACAGCCGAAGCCCAAAGTCCTGAAGAACCGCCGCAATGTGCCTGGCAAAGCAATTGTGCTTACAGGGGAGTACCAGAAAACAGCGGGCACCACAATGTACCCTAAATAGAAGGATCCTTGCTGCAAGGATCCGGGAGTTGAGGTGCACGTAATTTTTAGCAACCCTTTCTTGTCCGAGGCTCTACCACATCAATGGCAACGCCATTTACAACGTACAGCACCCTTGGTTACAGTACCTGCTTGCGAAGTTCCTCGGCGAAGTGCTCTCTGAACGAACCTATTCCTTGATCCCTGTATGGAATCATCATTCAGCATGTGGAAACCCCTGTTGCGATCATCTGTGTCCCTGAGAATGTCCTCGTTACAGGTCTCCTGATGAAGAATAGGCAGGTCCGTATGGGCTTAGGATGTGAGGGAAGTTTTGAACAAGTCGGGGTCCGTTTGGTGCTGGTCCCATCCTGCACAAGATTTCGAAAGTCGCCCCCAAACAGTACGAGCGGCTCAGGGACTGCATGACACCCATGCGAGCAAGCATCCTAACAGGCTTGCAGACAGGCAGTTCGGCATAAATGACCTCCCCAAAGCTGTCGTAAGATGAAGAGATATGCCAATGGGGTCCAATACCATCGCGGGACAATACATTCACAAGGTGTCACGTGGCCGGGCTCTCGCTGCCGAAGTTGGGCTTCGGCTTTTGGCTATCTACCCTAAGCTTAAACCCTAAACCCTAAACTGCCGAGAGCGCCGCTGACCATTTGCACGGACGCTCGAGGCTCCGACCGAGGTCCTCGGCCGAGCGTCTCGACAGTGTTTTTCTTGTGTTTTTTGCCTTACAGGGTGTGAGGGGCAAGTTTCATGCCTATCGTTGAGCGGCCGGCACAAACTTCGAGGACCCACAACCCGACACCAATCCATCGCAGCTGTGGTTTCCTGTGAAATGTAGTCGTTTATGTGCCGAGCTGCGAAAGGAAGCAGATGGCAAGAAAGCCCCCGCAGGGGGCTTTGGGGGGTGGACCCTAAACCCAAATTGAGAACAATTGGGGTGGTGGGGGCGGGACTACATGCTGACGCAAGCGCGCTTATCGTAAAAGGTGCACCCACCGCGCGGATGCTGTTACACACTTTAAACCCTAAACCCTCAGCCTTAAACCAGATCTTAGGTTGGATGAAGATGCGGTGCTCGAAGAGGACTCTGGCTACTTGTCATGCTCCAGATGAAGTGGTGCTACGTGAGGGCATAGTGTTGGGTTTGTGGCTTAGCTTTTGTGTTTTTGTTGGGTAGGGTATGGGTCTTCGGGCTAAGGGTTGTTGAGGATTGAAAACCTTGTGGGGTAAGGAGTAGGGTTGACAACTGTGCGTATTTGTTCTTGGCCATCGCAGCTCTTCCGCGGCAGTCTTTGCCAGCAGCAGCGCTCCTTCATGAAGGATCCGAAAGTTCACAATAAAGAGCGCGCTTTTTGCGATGAGCTTGGGGTACACGACTCTGGATAGAAATGTTGGTTTGCAAAATTCTAGAAGTCAGGGCATAGGAACTATCAAGTTTCGCTGACTCTCCACATGCTCACCCTAAACCCTAAACCCCTAAACCCTAAACCCCAAAACCCCTCGTCAGGTCATCCCAAGCTCCCGCCGAAATCCTACACCTTAGCCCAGACCCCGAGCTCAATCCCCGAGCCCGCTCATGACCCGGCTTGCCGGTTCCATGTTTGTAGACCTTAAACCAGGTCTCAAGTTTCTGAAGCTCCGAAGTCGAGGTAGGTACTATATTATCTAAAGGGTGTGCTTTTGTCACGAAGAGGCGCTGTTGCCAGGTCGAGGGATGGCTTCCAGGCTGCAGGGTTGCCTGCGGTTTGGAGGGTTCAGGGGTTCCCTCGGCAGTAGATTAAAGGATTCCGGGCTGCGGGTTTTGGTTATTGGGCCAGGGTTTCCATACTTTCTATGTCTTCCTTCCTCGTCTCCTCACAGGATGTGTGTGGAAACGTTTGGGGCTTCCGCCGATAGAGAAGCCTGCATTTCTGGGAGTCCAACAAACCCTACAACAAATGCCAAAAGCTTTAGACCTTAAATACCAGAGACCGAAACTCTCTGTCCCCGAAACCTCCACGCCGAAAGCAAGGTGTCGCCTTCGATGTGCTTATGGCCAACCTTAGTTTTGAAGAATTCGGTGGAGTGGAGGAGTGCAGTGGGAGGGGCGGAAGGTAGTGGGAAGGTTGTTTTGAAAGCCTCCTGACCCACAAACCCGAAATTAGTTGCCCTGTGAACCCGAGTCCCTAAAGCCCCAAACACTGGTGAAATCGAGCGTTTCGCATTGCGGCTGCATGCGGTGAGGATGATTGTTCAGGATTAACAACTCACGGCTTGGAGTTGAGTGCTTCGGTAGTACGGTATGATAGAGGTCGGGATAAGGAGTAAGAGTATCCCTTATAGTTCCTGTATACTTGAAGTTTAATGTACCTCCAAATCCAGCTATAACAAAAAACCAGCCCTGAGCCCACAGACCCGCTTGCCTCAGGATTCGCCTTACAGAGGCGACTCACTTCTGATCGGAAACTATGCAAACACGCTGCTCCGGCGAGTTAGGAGGTTCCGAAAAGTAGGCGTACCTTATCTTGGGGTCCTTGCATAGTAAGGATCCTACTATTTAGGGCAGTATATTAGGGTCCCTTGTTTTCGGAAACTCTCAGTTTGGCTGGTTCGGCTCATGATTTTTGCTCCAAGGCTTTCACCATTCAGGATTCATATTACGGCTTGCGTTCTAAATCCAATGATACGGGACTTGAAGCTGCATATCTTAACCCATAGGCCCCGAGCCCTTAGGACCTGTTTTCTCCGTCGGCTTTCGAGATGTTCTGAGGTGTTTGGGTTTAGGCGGTTAGGCTTTAGGACTTGTCTGCCGCATATCCTAGCTTTTGCCCACTGTGCACAGAAAGTCTGGTGTTCATGATCGATACACCCAAACCCCAAAACTGAATGGGCCCTTGGGATTAGGGCTTAGGGTGGGTGCCTCGGCTTAAGGGTTTCCTGATCAGGTGGGCTTCGGATCAAAGTAGATCTCGAACCTTCACGCTGAAAGCCGGGACACTAGATTTCATTCAGAACGTTAAACCCCAAGACTAAGTTTGCGCACATCCATCCCCACATCCCATGCAGAGTTGAGTCACCACTAAACCTTACGCCCTCCCAGCCCTTCACCCTGAGGCCCAAACCCTGATTAAGCGCCTCCACACCAAAGCCTACAGCCTAGTGGCCAAGCTGGTTTTGCAGTGCACACCGTGACTGAAGGGTAAATGGGCACCTACTAGTGCTCTAGGGTTTAGGCCTTAGCATCCAGACTGGTGTTGACAGTCTATGTTCAGCCCTAAACCTAAATCCTAAACCATAAGATGTGAATCATGTACCCTGATATTCATCTTGTATGCTCACTCCTAAACCTAAATTTCTAAACCCCAAACCCTGACCCCTGACGCCCTAAACTCTAAAACCTAAAGCATCAACAGCACTTCGTGGGCCTTGATCGTGCACCCCGGAGGGTTGATGCGATTTGTGAATCTAGACCCTTCGCTCTAACCCCTTCGAGCTCTTCGCGTCTTCAAGCTGCCCAGGCTTAGTTTCGACGTCGTAGGTGATGGAATCTGAAGGCCCATCAGAAAAAGCTCAGCTTACCTTGAACCAGAACCCAACCCCCGTAAACCAAGAATCCCCAGTTCATGAGTCCAGGAGAGCGGCCCAGTAGAAGCCTTTCTCGAAGAAACATATGCAAGGCCGTAGCAGATCAACGCCAGACGAGATTCACAGAAAGACAGCTGAGAACCGTTAACGCTGCATAGACCCCCAAACGAACCCAGACAGCTATACCAGAACAGTAAGGACTTCGGGTTATGTTGGGTCTAGATTCGATGTGCGCTGAGGCTTATCAACACAAGCTGCTTGCCGTGCAAAGTATCGGGAATCTTTGGGGCTTAATCTTGAGGGTACGGGATTGAGTCCTGCAAGGGTACAGGTTGTAGACTCTAAGGAAGTTTAAATCCACCATGGGGGCCTGGCGCATGTTCTTTGAAGCTTCTAATGGCCTATGCAGCTGAAGATTCCGCTGGCTGGCGAGGCAATCTGTAAACCCCAGCTTAAGTCGTGAAACTCGCACATACTTGAAATGAAACATCGAGACATGAACGCTCGTCGTTTTCTTTCGTGATGTTGCTTGTTGTATGTGCGCAAGCGGCGATGACAATGATGTTGACGATGGCCACAGCGGTTATGTAACGACACCGCTGCACCGCTGCTTGTTCCACTGAACACCTGTCGACCTTGGGCCGTCCTTGAGGCTTTGAAGGTGTGGAATTTATTCGCCATGGCTCCTCGGAGAACATTTTCGAGGAGATCGACGACCAAGAAGTCACGCTGGGAGTGGCTCAGCTTGATCCTTTGTCTGTTTTGGAACAATGGATTGAGAGGGTTTTTCCATCCCACCAACACTCCTCACTCAGGTTGTACAGTGCTATCGCAAACACACCGAAATCCAAATCACACAAAACCGCTTCAACCTTAAGCCCATGCCCAAAACCCCAAACCCAGTGTGTAAGAAACGAAGACCAAACCACAATGGTCCCAAGCCGCAAGCCCTAAGCCCCGAAAAGACAAATCTAGTGGACCGCTTTTTTTTCAGTGTTCCGCAGCCGCCAAAGCCTACATGCTGATTTCGCAACCCCTAAGCATTTTTCCTTAAGTCCTAACTAAACCCCCTGAGTCCCGAGTACCCAGCTTCGCAAGGGGAATCCTCAACCCTTGAACCTCAGATCTATAGCTCTGGATCCCCGCTCTTATCGAAACTGCTTTCAAGCATCGAAAGCAGCTCCGAAATCCTCAAACACCTACACTCCGCACCCGTGCGAAGTCATCGAGCTTCACTAAGGACTCCCCATCCCCAACTAAACCCTAACCCTATCAACGCCATGCCTGCGGAAGCCCGAGCTCCCCCTGAATCCCCAGAGCCAGAGAGCCGAAAACCACCCACCCGGCTTTTCAGGTCCTCTCCCAACATCACGACTTCCGCTTCTTTGAGGAGTCTTTGAGGTCCGGAGCTCGGGAGTTCGGGGCTTCTACAGTAGAAGGGTCGAAGGGTTGTTGTAAGAGTTGCAGGAGCGGGTTTCCGAGGGGTTCTATTCCGGGCGTGTTTTTGCTGTGTTGATATTTGTATTTTTTCCTTGGGTTTCTGGGCAGTTTTCGGTCTTGCGGGGCTTTCTGGGGGAGCTTCGGGGATCGAGCTTGCGGTTCAGGGCTTTTTGATGAAGGTTGAAGGATATCGGGTGCGGGAGTTCGGGGTTTGCGTAGTGGTATTGGGTTTGGGGGGCGGTTCAGATAGAAAGGTGTTTCTTTTTCTGGGCTGCAAAGTACAGCTGTGCAGCTGTACGGGAAGGGGTATTGGGTTGGTTTAGGGGCTCTGCTTCGCTCAAAGCTGAACCATCATAGCCCGAAGAGTTGCAGGCCAAAAGCCCCCGCCTCGGGCTTCAAGCTTGGGGTTGGGGTGGTCGCAGGCTCAACGTGAAAGAGGGTTCAGGGTTGAATGGCAAACCACAGTAGCCCATTCTAGTCGGTCTTCTAGATCATCTAACCCAGTATCCTGTATTCTATGTGCTGCTATTTTTGAGCCCACTATTTTCAAGGTCTGTAGTTTGGACAACTTCGATTTATGGTCTGCCTTGGGAGGTACGCACACCCCTTCCGGAAGGTGATCATCATGGGCAAGTGGAGCCCAAGCTATGTTAGATATTATGCACTGTATGTATTTTGTATATTCAAGATATTTTGTGCTCTATAGCCCTGAAGGTTGGGAGTAAGTCCTGAAATCCTACTTGGAACTTTTGGCAAGTGCTCAAGGACCTCTGGTCGCAGAATCCCGCACCCCGGACTCAACGCCCCGGTTAGCAAACGGATCTCAAATCGTACGCTCCACAGAACGAGACGCAACAGCCAAACTGCAATGCAATTGAGCTCGACCTTCGAAGATGCAGCGTATGAAGAGGTGCAGGGTCAAGATTAGGTTCTGGAGGATTTGGAGCAGTGTCCTGCATGTGTCAGAAAATGAGAGGCCCTTCTATCAGTATCCTCCATTTTCTGAAACCCTGATATACAGCACAACGTCACCGAGGTTGTGAGCACTGTTTCATGAGGGCTTCAGGGACTTGGGGTGCGTGAAAGTCATGCATCAGCTGAGGATCACCAACCAAACGAACTACACCATCGACACGATGCGAGGCCTGCCAAAGCTTTCAACCTTGGTACCAAAGCCGCAGCCTCTTGACCCCAATCTCTTTACTTCAAGCCGTAATCATGAATCTCCGCCCCGACTTCCTAGTCCCTGAGTTTTGGATCTACTTGCCCGAAACGCTGAACTCCCGTTCCCTATCGCGCCTCCATCTACATGAGTCTTTCAGGTCTTTCAAGCATGTCAGAAATTTCATGGTAAAGGTAGAGCCGACCGGGAGGCCCGAACCCTGAAATCCTAAACCGCCGCAGGCTCGCTTAAGGGGGTCCTGTGCGTCTAATGCAAAGAGAAGCCGATAAGCGGGCGCATCCGTAGCACCGGCGGCTAAAGAAAGAATGACTGTACAAAAGGGGGGGGCGGCAGAGCACCGCCCCAGAAGCTGGCGAGGCCAGCAGCCAAGGCCTCCCCCCGAGCTCGACCCCATCGAAAGGAGGGAGCTCAGGAGTGAACAGCAAATTCTGAGACAGCGGTTGCCCCTGACAATCCCTGACAGGACGAGGCAAACACCAGCAACACTGTCTGGAAAAGAGCTCTACGCTGTGCGGGCCCCATAAGCGGAAACCACGCAGGAAAACGTGCTAGCAGTCAGTGAAACCGAAGGAAGGACTCCCTGAACAAAGGATCCTCCCTTCACCGACAACGTGTGTCACAGAGTCTCGCATGCAGCCAGTGAAAACGGAAGGAAAGGTCCACTGAGTAACCCTCGGGCGCCGCAATGGAGCCTTCCTTCGCCACAGACAGGAGCACCACACAAGTGTGCTCGCAGCTGTTCGCCATGCAGTCAGTGAAAACGGAAGGAAGGAACCACTGCGAGCAGAGGAGCCTCCCTTCGCCCACAACAGGAGTGCCACAGAGAGTGTGTTCACACCTGTTTGCCATGCAGTCGGTGAAAACGGAATGTAGGACTCTCATCGACACTGACCAGCATTGACAACCCCGTAACCACGAGCGGTGCAGAACAAGTTCAGAGAGCGTCGTGAAACTCGTCCCCGGCCAGTGGGCACTTGCCGCGAACAGCAGGAAGACGTAGGAGTTGAAAGGGTGGCCAGCCCAGACAAAAGGCTTAATGGCAACCCACCTTTTAAGTAAAGCAGCAGGCACTACGCAGCCAGATCAACTGGCGGAGCGTCAAGCAGCCAATAAGGCTGTCCCAGCTCCTGAGCCGTGGACGGCGGCTATGGCAAAGCAAAGCCTGGGGTCGGGAAGCAGCGAAGAAGGGGGCACAACGAGAGTTGAGACCACCTTCATTCGCCTCGACCCGCGACGCCCAAACTCCAAAATCCCAGATCCTAAGACTTCGTAACCTCTAAGCTCTAAAGTCCAAGTAAGCCCTGTCAAGCCAAGCGTTGCAGGCGAAACGCAGATCGAGACCCGAAGGGGTACGGGGACTCCTGCGATGCTGCTTTGCAGACTTGCCTCGCTGGTCAGAACAAGGACGGAGTTTAGGGTTTAGGGGCATCGTGTTTAGGGTGTATGGTGCACGTTTCTTGGGTTGTTCTCGATTCTCAATTCCCTCTAGCGAGACGTTTCGAATGGATCTCGTGGTGTACATGGTTTATGTGCTCGAGTTGTTTTTGTTTCAGAGTGCAGCTTCCTCTGCTGCGACTAGCGACTAGGGATCGTACTCGGTTGATGCTCGAGCAAACCCTTAAATCCTGAAGCCCCAAAGTGGCGCACCCACACCGCGAACGAGCTTTTTCTGGTGTACACTATGTATATAATAAGAAGCCAAGTATGAAAGAGGCCCACCATCACGTATAGCAGCAACAAACGCAAGCTTGCACAGTCGATTCGTCGATGCTGCTTCGTTGTGATGGATTGAGGGTTTTAAGTTTCCTGCCGGACGCAATCAAGTTCCACATATGCCAAAAACTCCAGAAGCCCGAAGCCATAGTGTGGTACATAGACCCTAAGCTGGCGCCTGAACCCTCGAAACAAAACCCAATACCCGAAAATATCGGAGGTACGTGGTCTTCACAGATACCCACAACATCATCGCCAGCCCGATGTCCATTCTGGTGGACGCCAGAGGTGCTTCGGCATTTTGGGTTTAGGATTACATGTTTGCTGGTGATTGGTTTAGAGTTTTGGGGCCTATGATTACTTACGGATTCAGGGGTCTCGAGGCTTTCAGGCATTGCAGGGTTTAGTGTCAGGTTTGTGCGATCGGATCGTGGGTTTCGGGTTAGACCCCTTGCAAGAAGGACGCCCAGAAGCGAACCCAGATTCTAAATGGGCTTCCAGTCAGGCTTGGGTGAGCGCGCTCAGGAAGCCGTAGGAGTCTCTATGTTTATGTTGGTTGCCAAGTTCAAGAGAATCCCACGTCATAAACCTTTCCAGCCGTCAAGCAAAACCAACTTCTCGAAATGTCAAATGTGAAAGACTCTGCCGTCTAAAAATTCGAAGCTGCAAAGCCTGAGCTGCACCCCGAACACGTCCAAGCCCAAACCCAAATGCAAAGACCGCAAATCGAAAGCCCTTTTAGCCGTGAACTCCTAAGTCCTGGCGCCTCCAAAGTCCTGAAGTCCCTACAGTCAGAGTCCGCAGCCTTAAAAGCCACCGTAAAGCCCTCCCCAGGCTTCCCGGTGCTCCCTTACGTGCCAGCCAGCTCTTGGTCTTGCCAGCAGTATCGGTCCTGCACCTCCGAGCCTCCGGCGAAATGCTGTTTCTGTGAATAATTGAAGGTTTTGGGGTTTCGGGTATCGGGCTTGGCATTTGGGGGTTTAGGGTTTTCTTCCTCGGCGGAAGGCCACCATAGCCACAATCGTTTACAGTCCTGAATCTCAGAATCAAGCCTTGAAGTCCGAAAGCCCCGCCATGATTTGCCCAAGAAGAAACGACACAGCTTGGAGGCGGTGCCGGGCTTGCAGATTCCAGGATCGGAGTTCCATCTTTCGGGTCTTCGTGATGCTCATTACTTGGCCTCAGAGTCTAAAACCCATGGAACTTACGTCTCTTGGGTTATGCAAGAAGAAGCCTGTTGCTGCAAAGACGGCAGACACCAACCAAAACTTCCTGAACCGGAAATCCCAAGTCGACTTTGTAGGGTTGTGTTGAATGCTTGCAGATTCCGGGGTGAAAATTTATCCCTGATGGGTTGGAGCATGCGAGACAGGTGCCCGTGATTCTAGGGTGCAGGTGCAAACCTAAACCACATATGCCGTGTTTTTAAGAGTTTAGGGCCTCCTAAGCCCTAAGTTTTTGACCTATACCCCGAATTCTTTCGATGCCTTCAGTCGAGGAGTTGGAGGAAGCAGAGCTTTTCTTCGGTGTTCAGCTTCAATATCACCACGACACGCATGCGCCCCAATTGCAAGTCTGATGTGGGGGGTGCAAAGTAAGGTGCTCATAGGATCGCAGAGACCCACGCAGGAGGGGCCAGGGTAGAACCCTAAATCCAACAAACAAGTTCTTGGTTTTCGAGGCTTTGGGGTTTGTCGTCCTGGTGCTAGGTTCAAGCGGTGAAGCGAAAATCAGAAGCCGTATGGCAAACGAAGCAGCGAAAAATTGGAGTTCCCGAAAAGAGGGGACCCTTATATAACTTATATAGTACCCTAAATGGTAGGCTGGTAGGATCCTTATTAGAAGGACCCCCAAATGAGGCACCCCATATGGTTACAGGCAAGTTTGTCCGGACGCAGCCTAAGCCTCGGCAGCACTCTACACCAGACGGCGCGTGCGCCGAGGCAATACAAGGAAGATTGCAGTGCACTGTGTCATTTAAAGACCCGTAGACTCCGACTACAGCCAGCCATTTGATGATCCACGGACTCCTAGCTGTGAATTCAAATCTGTCATAGCTCGAAGCCCAAACCCTCAAGCAACATTGCCGCTGAATTGTTTGCAAGCTCATCAATGCCGCTGTTTCAGGGGGCTTTGAAGATTAAGTTCTGAGCTCTACCCTGGAACATTGGGGAGACACCGGGGGGAAATTCAGATCCTAAATCGGACGGGCATGAAGTTTCAATTCAAGGCGCAGGCCCAGAAACCTCAAGAGGGCTGCAACTCCTGACGCGCAGACTTGGAATCTACATCCTGAGTCTGAAGCCCTGAACTGCCGGATTGGCCCTTCAACCAGAACTTGCAGTCTGAATTTCGACAGGAAACGGTCTACTACACAGACCTCTACCAGCAGCACTGTGCGGCCCGGAGCACAGTATTGCGCTTTTTGGCAGCAGGAAGGGAGCCTGGCGATTTGGGTGCTTGTGCGAACCCCGAGCATCTGTGGACCGCAGACCCGAGGCCTAAAGCCCCGGATCCCGAAACCCCATGTAATCCTAAACCCCTAAGCCCGAGATTCGTAAACCGTAGACCTTATGCCCTATCTACATTCTTACACTTCAAATCCCCAAGGCCACACCCTAAACCTAAATCTCTATGCCGAAATCTATTGTCCTGATGGTTTCCCTCAGCTCTTGCAGTGTCGATTCTGGCTCTCGTGCTTGAGATGGAGTACTGGATGTAGTCGACTGCAATCACGTGGGATAGGGTTTAGATAAGTTAGGGTTTGATGAGTGTGGGTGCTCGGTTCCGTCAAAATCAGCTGCATACTGGGCGGATTTCAGCCTCACCTAAGATGTTGAGGAAGCCCTCAAAGAGATCTTGTGGCCCTTGTCGTGCAGACATTGAAAGACCCAAGGCCTGAGGCCCGAAGACCCGAAATCGTTGTCGAGGTGAGCTTCCCAAGTACAGCCAATGTGGCTATGTGCACGGACCCACGGCGAACGGCTATATCGCCCGCGGCCTCAGAGGGTGTCCGACATCACGAGATGTACTGGCCAAGTGCCGGAGCAATTCCGCAGATTCTGTCTTGACAGTTTTTTTCTAAGTACTGGAGACGAATGTCGATTGCACCCTCCGCTCTGTGGAAGTTTAGCAGCTTCTAGGGCATTGGCAGTAGGCCCGAGTCCCAAAAAAAAACCCTGCACCGCAGACCCTCAACCCCAATCCCTGAACTGTACAACTCTAAACCCAATTCCGATACCCCAGACTAAACTCCAACCCCGAAGCTCCCTAAACCCTCAAAGCCAAACCTCAAGATGCCCCAAGTTCACTGTGGAGGTGTGGGCTTTGGGCCAAGACATGCGATTGGTGAGTCTTCAGGCTAAAGCAGTGGGGCCTGTAGGGTTCCTTCAGAATCTTGTTGAGAGTAGCAGCTCTAAACCCTGTGGCCCAACAGACCAAACCTTTTAAGGAACTAAAAATAGAAACCATATTAAGGTGGTCCATGCATGCTCGCTCTAAACCCTGGCCTTCAACTCTAAACCAATTACTCCAAACCGTACGCCCAGTCTGCTCTGACATCCTGCGGAGAATGAGCCGCAGCATTGAAGAAAACGACCCCAAACCCTCAACCTCAATTTCCCTTAACCCTGAACCCTGAACTCTAAACCCTTGTACACAGGCTCATCCTGGTAAGGAATTCTAGCTGTACTGCAGTTGGAAAAGGGCCCACAAAAAACTGTCTAGTGCTTAGTAGGGAATGGGGGAATGGATCCCTATAGTAGCCCCTATAAAATCCCCAATAATAGTCTCCATAATCCATTCCCCCATTCCCTACTAAGAGCCAGACAGAAAAACCTGTATCCGCAGGCCTGGCTCCTCTCGCAGCAAGACACCTTGGCCTTCGACTATGCGCCCTGGCTGGGCTCGGCCGACGCACCGTCTTCAGGGGTTTAGGGTTCTACAGGGCTTCGGGCTCAGAGGTTGGGGGTAGGGGTTATAGGGATTTTGGGGTTTGCTTTGGGAGTTTATCTTCCAAAGTTTAAGAGTGAGTGCTTTTGCTTGGTTTAGGGCAAGCTCAGGGTTCAAGGTTTCGGCTTAAGGTCTCCTGTTTCGCTCTTGGCGGTGCGGGCAGGGGTTTTTGACTTTGGCATGTCGGGTATGAGACAGGTCGCACAAGCGCAAAGCTCAAGCTTCTCTAGAGCTCCCAAGCAATATGCCCCACGACCATCGGACCCACATGGTCTAGTCTGCAAGGAGACCACCCTGATATCGCAGGTCCCCAGATATCCCACAGGCGGCTTCAGATTTCGGTTTCAGGCTTAGGGCAGTGTCGAGTTTAAGCTCGCGGCCGGAGGGTCCAAATCTCTTCTTCATGGTGGAGTTCCTTCATGTTCAAAGCCCGAAAAGCCGTAGTGGGCTCAGGGTTAAGATTGAGCTGGGCACCTGAAGCTCTGAACCCTGCCCTCAACCCCGAGCCTTCTTGCCAGGTGCCCAGGAACAAGCAGCAAGTGGGCTTCAGGCAGGAAATGGACACACTTATTTGGCCTCAGGTTCACGGTCTAGGGTTTAGGCTTGCGGGTCGAGGGTCTAAGTAGTCGGAATGATTGCCAGTAGCATTGCCTCATAGCCCCTTTTCATTAGATTCGATCATGCCCCATAGCCCTGTTCTGACCACTACAGACCCGACAATAGACTCTGCTAGGAGCACTGATAGAAATCTTGAAAAGAACCGTTAAAGCAACCCTTCTAGAAATCCTCGACTCAAGGGAACCCTTCTTTAAAGGGTTCTTGGGTCCCATAACATTGGCCTGTATGATTAGACTACGGTTTCGGGATGATTTTGCAGCATGCGTAGTCAAAAAAGGGACTACGCACGACTTTCCCCTTGGCTTTTGTTGCTTTAGCAAGTATTCGTGAACATCTCCGAGAGGTCTGAACCACCTCGCGCCACTCTGGGGTGGCAACATCTTTTGGCTCTAAAGTTAGGGTTTTTTCACGTGTAAGTTGCAGTTTGCTCTAAGCCCTCTATAGTCCCAGAGTATCGTGTGATCTTGTGTAGCTCGGGATCATGTTCGAACGTTTCCCCCTTTGTTTTTCTTCATTGTTTGGGATTTGTTATCTGCGAACAGTCAACAGTCTCTTGGGAGCAAAGTAAGATAAATGGAAGCTTTGCAGCATCACTTTACGACTTCGCAACAAAATTCATGTCATCACGCACATTCAGGGTCTTCGAACTGCGGCTTTCTAGGGAAAACGGATATTGGGGTGTCAGGCTTTCGGTTTTGTGGCGTCGGGGCTGTTTCGTCGTAATCAGCTTGCAGGTCTTGGGGTACAGCCGTCACTCCTCACCCGGTTGACACGCGGACGTGCTCTGTGTCGCTGGGTTGCATGTCGTTTCGTGTGCGGTTTAGGGGTAGAAAGATCCGGGGTGATTGTCATGGGTTGCAGGATGCACAGATCCACGAAGGACTTCAGCCAAAAGTCTTAAATGCTCATTGAAGATGGCCCCCCAACAGTCGTACATGGTTGTACTATACTATACTATACCAGCAAACTCCAGTCTCATTTCATGTCCCTGTACTTGGCTTTGGGCAAGGGGCATGACAAAGGCCATAGGTTTCCTTCCTTCATGGCCCTTACCGCAAGTATGTGTGGATACATGAATGGTTTGAATCTGTGTGTTTGTTTGTTTGTTTTGGTTCAAGTTGAGATTTCGGTTTGCGATTTGAGCTTCGCATTTGACAGTATCTGAGGTTTGCGGAGTAGTCTAGGGTTTGAAAAAGCTAGCAAAAATATCTCCTGACTGTCCCCATAAAGTGGTCCAAGAAGCAGCCGGGTAGTCCCCGAAGGTTCGCGAGAACCGGCCGACTCAGGTACAAGGAGTCCGACTTCCTGATGGCGCAGGGCACCATCGATGCAGCCATCGAAGATCTGTGTCTGTAAGCACCAAAACGCCTGAACCCAAAGCCTGCAGCATTAAAACCCACATCATGGATTGAGACCTGGAGATCCAGCCCCGAACTCCGCAACCCTAAATCCGTATACGACAATTCTACATCATAAATACACAACCTAAGCTCCCCAAGTCCCCAAAGAACCTAACGCTCTCAATACATCCTCCACCGTAGCAAAACACCGAGGCAACATCTCTTCTTGCGCTGCCATCTTGGAGGATCCCGGAGCCTGCCTTGCGGCATCCCGGGCAGCGAGCAGCCCCGAAGCCCGAAACCACAAAGTAATCAGAAGCCCTAAACTCTTAACCCTCATAAACTGTCATAAACCCCTCATTTTTTGGGGTTGTGCAAAAACAGGGGTGCTTTATGGGTTTACGTTCGATTTTAAGGGCTTGATATTGGTTTGTCATGTTTGTGTTGTGTTGTGGGGTGTATAAAGTTTTGAAGTGATCGAACTGATGAAGCCCCAAACCCTGAGCCCTTAAACCCTGAACACCAAAGTCTAAATCCTGAACGTGGACATTCAATTCCCTGGCCTGCGGCTCCTTATCATTATGATTGCCAAAAAAAGAATCCGGACCCTTTGAAACCCCTTCAAAAACTGGTTAATTTCGGAAGGCAAACTGCACCTGGCGTCCCATTTTCGGGAGCGGCAAGTGTATCGATACACCCGAGGCATCAGGGGGACTGGAGTTCGGGTTGTTCGACTTGTCGCAGTCTTGGGAACGGTAGGCCCGTTTTGCCGAAGGTCCCATGAATCACAACTTCATTGGCAGGGAAACCCCTTTCGTTAAGAGGCTTCCCACACGGGACAGGCTGATTTCAGACACTAAGCTGTAAAGCCAAAAAAACCCGGCGCTGAACGGTACCAGGTTTGTTTTTGTGTCTACTTGTCGGAAAGAAGTGCACTGTGCGGTCTCAGAAGTGCAGTGTTAAGAGGTTAGGTGTTCCGGATGAGGACACGGGAGCAAAGCAGAAACATGAGTCATGCTATCCCCTGGAGTTCCCAATATTAGTTCTATATATCACCCCAAACCCTAATCGAATTCTCGAGGCTCTTATATGAGTGGCTCAAGGTTTCGGATGCAGCGAAGATTCTTTGCTCTCGACTACTGGTTGTTGAATTCTTCGAGTTCACTGAAGCTCCCGGTTGAAAACCCCCCAACCAACAAAACTTAAGTCCCTGCATCCGATTCAGGGATCTGAGCCATGAGCAAAAACGTCCCTTGTAGCCTGTAGAAACTAGTTAGCTTATGGTGCACCGCACTCGACGTTTTGGAGGTCACCTTCACACTCCGCATCCCTGAGCTGTACACGACGACAACGACGACGGCCCCTTCGGATTGCATTTGGGGCCATGGGAGCAGCACGTTGGTACCAGTACTAGCTTGTCACTTGAAATTGTTTGGGTCACACCTTGAGCACAGCCAATACCACGAGTATTGAAATTGTTGATTGCAGTTGTTGTTGCCACAAGTACGTGCTTGTGATTCTATTTGGTTATGATGAGGTTCGTGATCGTGAACATGGGATAATGAGCATGATGACGATGTTGAAGATCATGTCAAGGTGATGATGACGATGGTGAAGCTGACGATGATGATGATGACGACGACACTGGTGATCATGGTAACTATGCGTAGTCAATCCTATCTGCTTCAAATCCATAGCACAAGTGATATAAACCCCTAGCCCATGAACCACAAGTCTGTAGAAAGAAAACACCCAGAGTTCCTAAGCCAACGTCCTTGGCACCGGAGTCCCAAGCTTCATGCACAGTGGTGGCCATTCCACAGTTCAAGGGCTTCCTGCACCGTCGATCTGGGGATGAGGATGTAAGCTTCAGGACTTGTTGAGGCCGTAGTGTTAAGGGCCTAGGAAGCAGGGTTTTGGCATGCTTCTTCCGGTGAGCTCTTGCTTGTCCAGGCCACCGTCACAGCAACTTCCACCGTGTCGACCACTTTGAGCTCCACTTCGAGCTCTTCCTCTACCGGCTCCACTACAGAAAGCTCCACGACGCGGTCGTTGACTTCCACCTCGACACTGTCCTCGACTTCCTCGTCTTCCTCCTCGACGTCCTCCTCGACGAGCACCACGACGACGGAGACCAGTACCACCGTGACCAGCACCACGGTGTCCAGCACCACGGTGAGCAGCACCACGGTTACCACGACCACCGTCGCCTGGCCTGTTTTGTGTGAAAACTCGCTCATGGTCGCGGAGGATTTTTTTTGCCAAAGGAGTGAGCTCTGTCCAGATGGTTAGGCATCAGCAAGTTCAGGCCTCAGCTAGATGATCTGCTCAATGAAATCCAAGGAAACCTTCACGGTGCTTCCGGGACAGTGCCCGCTGCCTGTCGCGGACGCTTCGGTGGATGTGATGGATTGCCTGGGAAAGATCCCGGGCGAGACGTGCGAGGCTGGTGCCAGTTGATGTTCAGGGCTCTCTTTTTGGCCTGGCCTTAAACCCGAAATACGGAAGCACCGTCTTGCAATTAGTATTGGATGTTGTGGCAAAGCATATCGAACATTGTTGTTCCCGGTGCAGTGCAGCCACTAAAACCTTGCACCCGGCAACGCTGGCCACAAAGCCCGGAACAATCGTTCCCGAGTAAACCGCGAAACTCACCGGTTCATTTCTTATATATATATATATATATATATATATATATACACACAACCCAAGCCCTAAACACTGGCTATCAGAGAGGTTAGCTTTGGGTTTTTTGGGTTCTGCGGGTGCTCCCCTGAAGGTTGTCTGCGCAGCGGACTACGAGGGCTTGCCGGCCACACTGACCTGCGGCCAGTCAGAGGTCTTCGAAGGTGATGTGCCGACTTGCATCCCGGCTGCGCCTTAGGTTGCGCGATCCCGGTTGGAGCTGCTGGCTCGTGATGGTGGTGGTCGGAGCAGGGGTAGGAGTAGGAGTAGGAGTAGCAGTAGGAGCAGAAGTAGGAGTAGGTATCATCGTCGTCACTGGCATTTTCATCATTATCATGAGTAGCAGTAGAGTTGTGGACCACTTGTATTCGATTTATGACGGAGTTGTCTAGCAGTGGATTCTTCTGCCTGATTGATACCTGGCTCCGTCGGGCCTCAAACGCTACAGGCAGCACCACGACCTGGACCAGCACTTTCACAACGACCATGACCGGTGAAGGGGCGGCCGAGGGACTTCAGAGCATTGCCTTTTTCTCGCCTGGCTTGGGGTTGGGGGCCTTTTGCTGTGGAAAGGCTCGAAGGGGCTGAAGCGTGGGTCTGCGGTGTCATTGACTTCTCGGATTTCATGCATGTTCATGCATCACTTTACGAAGGTATCGATTTCCTTCCCTGGTGGGAGGATCGCGTAACTGAGCAGCGGCAAGCTCCCTGATACGGCCCTTGACGAAGCGATGGTTTAAGCTGCAATGAATCTTCGAAGTAAGAAATCCCGAAACGTCTGGACACGGAGCCCTCACCCCTGAGCCCTAAGCCCCATCCACACACGTCTAAACCTGAAGTCGGAAGAACGAAGCCACAACCCTAAGCCCTCATTACCCGTCCAAACCCCCACACCCATGGAGCCTGAACAATAACAGCAATACTTCGTAGTACTGTTGCCTAGAATTCCGTTTTATAAGCCTACTGCAAAATACACCCAGACTCATGTTCTACTTCCTCAGGCCTTTTAAAGGCTATAGAACGCGTATGAGAGCCCCTCGAGGGAGTCCTAACCCCTGATAGTTAAAGCCCTTCCAGGACGCAGCTGGTCGAGTGTAGTGGTGGTCTGCCTTTGGGGCGAGGCATTGCGTCTCGGCCCTCCAAAGCTTTGTCTTCCGGTTCTTAGGGGTTTAGGGTTTAGGGTTTCAGTTTTTTTTTGGGGTTTCTGGGTGTGGGATCTCATGGTTTTTGGGATCCCTTTTCCTAAGCTAAGGAATCCTGGAGCCGAGGCCATGAATCCCGAAGCCCAGGCTCGAAACGATTTTAATCCTATGAACCGCAAGGAAGCCCTGAACACCCTTGCAAGCCAAACACAACCCTAAACCATCCTAAACCCTAAACCCTAAACAACTCCACAAACTCTTGTGAAAGCCCCATACATTCCAACAAGACCTGTGAAGCTTGATAAGGCACATGCACACTAAACTCCAAACCCTACAACCCTAGAACCCCAGGGCCCTAGAACCCTAGAGCCATAACCCCTGAACCCCTAAACCTAAACCCTCTACCCTCAAGAACCCCAGAGCCTAAACCCTAAACTCCCAAGAAAGGGCCCTCACCCGTTGGCCCAGGTCAGTAGCGATTGCCCTGGCAAGGTCAACGGACAGACCTGTGAGGTGCAACAATTGGAGGGTTTCGGGTTTAAGTTTTGGGGTTTAGGGTTAGAGGTTTAGGTTCTAGGATTTTTCTTGAGGGTTTAGGTCTTTAGGTTTCTGGGGTTCTGAGGGTTTAGGGTTTAGGGTTCTTGGGTTCAGGGTTTAGAGCTCTTTGGGGGGTGTTGTGGGTTTACGCGCTATGCGCAGGGAGTTCTTTTATGCCTCATGGCTTGGGGCGCTCCTGCTTTTTCGGATGCATTTTTTAGGGTTTAGGGTTGAAGGTGTAATTAATCGACAATCGGAAATCTGAAGCTCACAGCGCAGACTCCCACCCTCTGATAGAGTCTTTGACGTGCAAGGTGCGCTGCGATGCAAGTCTCGGCTTTGAGGGGGGCCCAGTGGAGTAGCCCAGGCTTTTATTGGAAGGCTTAGAGTTTAGGGTTCTGCTTCTTCATGTTGTCGCTTCTAGCGTTCATGGGGCTTTGGGCGTTCAGGCTTTGGGGTTTTTGATGCCGCACATGCTTCGTGCTTCGTGGCACCGGAACTGACCCCAGAATGTCGCTCCCGGAATTTAGGTATCGATTCCTCAGGAGTTATAGTACTTACCATCGAGAGGAGTAGCACTCCCCGGATACTTATGTTTAAGAGTTTCGCGGTTTCTATGCTGGGTTCCGGGTCCAGAGTCGGGCGAGTTCAATTGGGGCTGAGTCCACTCCGCAAATCCCGAGCCCCACAGACCATAAAGCCTAAACCCGGATCCCGGGTCCTGGGGTCATGAATGTGGGCCTTCAAAACAGGCGGCGGCCCTGCACCCCAAACCCCAAACCGTAAGCCCAAAACCCTCACTCCTAAACCCGAAACCCTCAAAATCCCCCACACTTCCCGAAGACCGAGGTATGTGTGCAACCCAAGCACAGGGATATTCGATGGGCCGGGACTTCAGTGCATCTCTGCGGTAATTGTCGTGTCTTGTGGTTCGTATTATGGTCATCAGTACCATTATCGTTGTTCTTTTTCTTTTTCATATCAATATGATGTTATCATGATTACGACTTTTGTTGTTTTTGTTATTCTTCTTGTTCTCATTCTTGTTATGATTATCCACTGGGCCCAGCGGAGTATTCGGGGTGCTTCATGGCCTTCTTCTGGGTCGGTGGGACCGCACTGGCGGCACAAAGACTGGTATCTCCCAGTCGAGGAGCACCCACCTTCCTGCCACCTCCCCCTCAGGCGGTTCTCTCGCAGAAGCCCTGCAAAGACGGGGCGTCTTCGACCTGGACGCGCTGAGGAATGTGTGCCGGCAATCCTCGGATGCCGTGGCCTACCTGCACGGGCTCCAAATCGCCCACCGGGACCTTAAGCCCAATGCTTGGCGGTAGTTTGGGTTTCCATCTGCCAGCCAGTCAGGCATGAAGCCCGTTCCGTTGCATGATGCTGCACTGCCTGCACTTGCCCGGAGAAAGCTTGCGGGCCTAAGGGATGTAGTGCAACGCAGCCGAGCGGCGGATTGAGATTGAATTCGCCACTTCCACCGCGGCCTTTGATCCGGATTTCGGCGGACAAGAAGGCCATGTCTGCAGCCATTGTGAAAGAGTTGGGCAAGCGGCACGCAGACTCCTTCGATTGGCCAGCTATCGCAACAGCCGCAGGTGGGTGTATGGACAACCGAGCATGACTCAGAGGTAACAGGTCGAGTGAGGTAGAGAAAGTGGCACCGGGTTTGAAACTCGTGTCTTAAAAGTGCAGCTGCGGTGATGCTTCGGCGGCCCTGTTTGCCGATTTCTTTCCTTACCGCGTGTGCCTCCGTTGTTGGCTCCCCTGCTCCGGCCTTCGCCCGATCACTCGCTCCTTGCCTTCCCCCTCCTCCCCACTCAGCCGCTCCCTGGCGCGTCCCCTTTGCCGTATCCTGCCGTTTCGCCTTGGCCTCCCCATGTTCCATGCATATTATATGGTATTTGACAGTCATTGACTGTGACCTTGCACCTGTCTCTTTCCGCCCGGGTACCGCTCACCTTGGTTCCCTTCTCCTGCGCCGTAACATTGCCCACTCGCGCGACTTTCTGCCTTCCCTTCCTCCCTGGCTAACTTCCTGAGTGCATGATGAACGCCTTCGTGCCAGCCTGGCATTCTTCCAATTGCTTGAGTTGCCTCCTCGCTTCTCCCGTTGCCCTTTCTGCAGTCCGCTGGTCCGCCTAGTGATGCTCCAGTCGAAGTCGGCTACATACATGAAAGGCGCTGCTGCAATAAACCTGGCTCAACCCGAAGCTGGAACGCAAGCCTTGCCCCGTTTTGCTCTGTTCTCCCGCCCTAGGGGGGGTTTGGGGTCTAGTTTGGCATGAGGGTTTAGAAACGATTCCAGGAAACCTCTTACGCTTTATGAGCCCTAAACCTTACATCCCGGGCGTTGAAAACTTGAACCACGCACCTTAAAACCGAGAAGGAGCAATGTCGAAGGTTTTGACCGAAAATGTTTTGGCAGTTTCACAATGAAATGGCTCCAGCGTTTCCCTTTCGGGCTTGGGAACTCCAAAGGTTTCAACTTGCGGTTTAAAGGTTTAAGGGTTTCAGTTTGGGAAGTACGTGTTTGAAGGACCCGAAGATAGAGCCGAAAGAATAGGACTTAAAATTGCAGGTCTACAGGTCTACCGGCTTAGTTGCGAATGCAAGTTTCGTGTTTGAGGACATGGACATAAGGTTGAGGATTGAGGCCTCATGGTTCCGGATGAATGTTGTGAACTTTAGGGGCTTGTCCATGTCTGGACACACAGTCCGTAAAAACTTGTCCACGTATCCTACAATAGAGCCCAAGAATATTATGCCATTGGCCCAAACTGTAAACTCTAAACCCGAAGCTCTGTCCCAAGCAAAACGATGTGAGAGCTTCGGAACCAGAAGGTTTCCTCCCCAGCTGCCCGACGGATGTGCTGCCAACGTCGCTGGACATCGCAGACTGCGACAATACGGAGCCCAGCTGGGCTCCCTAAGTAAGGAATAGACGTTGGCTTGTAGCAGGTCTATTGTTATGACTTAAGGTATAGCGTATACTCTTTCGTTGAGATGGATTGGGCTCGGGTGTTGTTGAGAGGGGCTTTCAAAACCCGGGGGTAGAGCCACAAGTGTTTTGCAACGGTTCCAAAAGGGCTTCATCGAGCGTCCACTCAAGGAGCGGCGGACATGGATGTGCCAACTATCATGTTCAGCTTTGCTTGGAGTTTCGGGGTTGAGCGTTTCAGGGTGTCGGGGCTCTCGGAAGACTGAGCGATCGAACGCCTTTATACAGTTTTCCGGGGAGTAGTTCGGATGTTTGAAGCTGAGGACTAGCTAGGACTTCCTTACTTGTTTCGGGGTTCAGACAGCTTGCTCCATCCCACATCAAGAAGCCTTTAAATGTGCGAAAGCGGCCCTACACTAAGCTGAAACAACCTACCAAAATGCCAGCAACCGTCCTCAGCTTCAGCAAAACGCCCGGACCCCTTCTGCGAACCCAATTGCAAGGAGCTTGGCCAAATTTGCTTCGTCCGTTGCCCGGCCGGCTGGGCTGGTACAGAGGCATCGGAGATGAGGGGATGTCGGGTTCAGGGTTAAATAAAGTTTCAATGATGAGGCTTTAGCTCCGAACCTTAAAAGCCCCCACCCAAGCCCCGTTTAAACTGAAACCCTGAGTTTGGTCCTTGAGATTCTGAGGTTTCGAGTTCGAGCCTTTACTAGCTTGGCGTTCGTGTTTTACAGAGCAGAAAGGCTGCCGTTTTGGGGGCTTTGGGGGCCGAGAGATGCGGAGGCCGTATACACTTGCCAGCTGGAGGGCAGCTTCGCCGGGACGGCGCTTCTTGGAGTGATCGTGAGGAGGCTTTGAGTCTGTCGCTTTTTCGCTTCAGGAGCTTGGGCTCAGGGTTGGAGGTTTCTCAGGTTGAGGCAGGCTTTGACACACTACCGCGAAGCCTCAACTACTCAAGGATACAGCAGCCCGAGTGATGACTAGTACAATCCTGTAGGTATTGGGGTTCCTCATTGGCAGTGTACAACAAAGCAACCCCAAACCTATTCCAAGGAGGAGGAAACAACCACCACATTGCAATTCGCAGCTTTCCGAGGCCCGTCTGCCAAAGGCTGGTCTGCAGCGTGGATATGCTTCCGCGGCTTGATTGCCTGGCTTTGGTGTTCCTCCGACTCTTGCGGTCTAGGGTTGAGGTTTAGGAGGATTGTGGACCTTGAGCACTCAGACCTGAAGCCGCAGGCCTTCAACGATCTACCTCATGCACAATTGTGCGGATCTTGTGATAGCAAAGGCATATGTCCTAAGCCCGGACCTTAAATGTTAAACCCTATAAGCCCTATTGTCCCAACCCCGAAGTCTAAGGCAGGGGCCTGGTTTCGACACCTCTTCCTGCGTGGGCACGCAATCGGGTGAGTCCTGCAACGTGACGTGGCGCAGGAGGTTTGGTTTGATGTAGAGGCCTGAATAATCAGTGGAGTTAGCAGTCGTGTCCCCTCAAGTTTTTATTAGTGTATAGATATTCACCCCAAAACTGCGTTTAGGGCACCTCTGCTGATAGAAGGGTTTAGGGTTTAGGTTTAGCTGTCTGTACTGCGGATTGTAGGATTGAGCGCTGTTGAGAGCAACCGGCCAGCAACGCTGCAGCTACTTTGGGGGCACTTGCAACCCCACTTCACTTCCCCCCAGCCCGTCCAGAGAGAGAGACAGAGCGAGAGACAGAGAGAGAACGAGAGAAAGAACCCCAAGTCAAAAGTTTCAAGTTCTAAACAAAAAGCTCTACCTTGAACCCGAAGCCTTTATCTCCCCAAGCCCTAAATCCTAGACGAGAGAGGGAGTTCCTGATGCTCGAGGCTTCCGTGCTTCAGACTCTCCGGCTTCCTCCGTTGCCTTCGCGCCCGAAAGTCCGAAACTTTTCAACGACACTGAATCCTGAACAGCAAACCGAACATGCCAAAGCACAGGTAACCTGCGCACGTGGCTACACGGGCTCATCGGCAACCTACGACTGCGCCCTGGACGGCGTGTTCTCAGCGGGAAGCAGCGCCGCATGCGAGCGAAAGGCCGGGACCCTCACTTTCATCCCGGTTCTTTATGACCGATCTGCCAGGGTTTTATGGGGGTTCTGCAAAGGTTCTGGTTGAGGGCTTCGGGCACAGGCTTTAGGGTTAAGGGTTCGGGGACCAACTCCCGGCAATTCCTCCTTGAAGGCATGCCCCGTGCCCGCCTCCATGGCGGGAGATCCCTCCTTCTTCACGGACTGCGCCGGGGCGCGGCACGGCGACACCTGCATGGCCAAGTGCAACCCTGGCTACTCCGGGATCCTGGGTCTGCAAGAGGGTTACGAGCAGGGGCGCTAAACGGGATACAGTTTGCCGTAGGGCTGACTATGAGGTCTGCCATAATTTGCAAGGGGAGTGCTGTCTAAGTGGTTGAGTTTCTATTCTTTAACCCATTTGGCTTAATGTGCCAGGGGACCTATCATCAAAACTCCATCGCAGAATCCCCAACGCATCAAACATAGCCCTACACCTTGAAGCCCAATCCTGGCCCACATCCTAGAATTGAAACGATGCACCATACCCAAATCCGAAAGCCGAACCGTCAAACCTACGTCCGAAGCCTTAAGTCTTAAAGCCCATATCACCTGAAGCCTTGAACCCTACACCCTAAACCGCAATTCCTGCACTCCAAAGCCCGCAATCCTAAACACCCAGGACCCCTGTCCAAAAGCGTTGCGATGATGGCGAGTTTGCCACCGGCACGGACATTTCGGGTTTGGGGCGCTAGGGTCTTCAGGGTCTTTAGGTGGTTTAGTGTTTTGGAGTTCAGTGTTGAGGGGGTTCAGGGTCTTGTTCGATTTAATGTAGGTTGTAGTCTTGAGTGAGGGCTTAGAGCCTTGCGACTCTCGCTTGCCAAGGGCTTAGGGTATACGATCTGAGGTTGCGGAACAAGAGGTTTGGATTGAGTCTAGGTTCAGGGTTTGGGGTAGGTTTAGTTTGTTTGTTCGCTTTAGGGTTGGTCCGCTTTAGGGTTGTGAAGTCTGCAGGACATCAACTGCACCGCTTTGACCTGCTCTCTGGAGGGAGTTTCCATCGGTGTCGGCGTAGCTGTGGGGAGCTGCATCTTGCCTGCACGCGACACTTGGGTTCAGGGTTTGGGGTAATGTAGGAGTCGAAGGGATACGTCAAGCAGTATCGGCTGAGAGTCCGGCCCGACTATGCATATAGTATAGTATACACTAAGCTCTTTTTCCAGCAGTGAGGGGTTCTCCTGTCTTTAGTGTTGCAACCTAGTAACCCTGGAAGCAGCCATAGGGTCTAAGATTTAGGGTTTAGGGATGTTCAAATTTTATCAGAGTGTGACATCCTGTCCGCAGTGAGTCTTCATCGACAAGATGATAAGTTTCCATCGAAACTACTCGGTTAGCAACCAGGCCAATCCTAAGATCTGTGCAACACCTAGATCGTGTTGCGAGCGAAGGACCCTGAATTTGATATGTTGTGCGGCGAAGCACGAGCCGGCTGATGCCCTTCCTCGGATCGGCACCTTCTGCAAGGCGAAAGGAACCCAAGGCTGTTCGGTGCTCATCGCCTCGCTGGTGCAAACCACGCCGGCTCGTTCGTGGGAGGTCAAAGCAGCACCAACTTGTGCCAATGATGCACGTTGCTGGTGCGAGCAAGGGTGCTTGCATGACGTGTCAGCTGATAGGCGGGATATTGGCTGGCAGCTGTACTGCCTCCCTCTTGCCATGGGCTGAGAGGATACAGCTCGCTGCTCGTGTGGCCTGCATGAATGGTTGCTACGGGTGGTGCTCACCGCTGCTCGTGGTGCAGTGTGAAGTGTGTCTGCTGCGAGCTGCGCAGGCTCTCTTTGGGCTTGGTGCGCCGCGTGAAGGGAACCCCGACTGATGCTGATGATGTTCGGCGCTCGTGGTTTCTGGGACTGTTTAACTGTGGCTTGCGCGCGATCGCAGATGTGGAAGGTGAAACGCTCTCCGGCTGATGCCGATGATGCTCGCGGTTCGGGGCGACCTGTGATGAATTGCAGAGTGAAGAGGGCATTAACAGGTGCAGATGATGTTAGCTTGGCTCGAACGGCAGTCTGGGTGTGGGTGAAAAGCACCCCCGCTGATGCCATTCGTGCTCTGGTCCAGGAAGCCTCGTTGTTTGATTTCGTTTTGACAATGCAGTGTGAGTGTGAGTTGCCACCTGGATAATGAAGATGTTGCACACTGCTCCAGCTGCAGCACGTAGCGATGCAGGTTGAAACGTGGTGCGGCTGATGTCGATGATGCTCGGTGGTCGTGCTGCGTGCGATGACCTGACGAGGCCTGATGCCGATGATGCTGGTGGCTCCTGGTGCTTGGTAGGGTCGGTCAGAATTGGCGATTTGGTGCACTGCTGAAACCGATTCCGCACTGTTAACCCCACCCAGGTCCACAGAACCCTAAACCCTCAAGCATACGCTATTCTTCGGATGTTCGGGAAACGCCACCAAAAAGACCCCAAGGCACCGCAATCGAGCAAAACACTTTGAAACATGCTCAGGACCCCTGTGTAGTTTGGCATTGAATCACAAGGATACAGTTCATAGCAAAATTATGCAAACCAGACCACCTTGTAGAGTTGGTTTTGGGCTCTCTGTGTAGACCAGGTGTGGGAGCTACCACGGGTCGGAGCTGCGAGCTTTCGTGCGCCCGGGGCTACGATGGCGTGGGCCGCTTGACCAAGAGCGGGGGTTCAGGGTTGGGGTCTAGGGCGTAGGGTATAGTCCAGGCGTGAGCGTTCAGGGTTGAAGGGTAGTGCGCCCCAAGCCTGGACCCATAGCGCCCTATTTTTAGTTACAGAGCATTTAATCCAACATCCATCCAAGTCCCTTCGTAGGCTGAAGGAGCCTCGGCCATCTCTTGGATTTTATTTTGTAGATCCTGCGAGAAGCCCAAAGCCTTGAGCCCTCCACCCGAAATGGGTTGCAGACTTTTTGCTGCTGTTAGAGGTGCAACATGCAGCCCAGCAGTCTGGATCTCTTAAACTCCTTCTTCCTCCTAACCTGCAGCCGGATCCTCGCCCTAAAGGCCCTAACCAGGCAATGCTACCATGTTCTGTGGGATCGATGGCAGCTTTTCGCCGCATTCCTTCGCCTGCGAGCCGACGCAATGCCGGGATTCCCAACTTCCTCCCTAGTTACGTTGCTCCGCGCAAAGAGCTCTGGAATCAGGGTTCTGTTTTCATCGGGTACGGGAATTGCTAGGTTTTGAGTTTCGAGATTTCAGGCTCTGGTAGGGATCCTGGTCTGCGGACAGCCTCCAGTGCAAAGACTGCTTAGGAGCTTCAAGAAGCCAAACACGTCGAGCTCGGGATCTAGTTAGGGCTACTTTAGGGCTTTAGTTGAGTGTTCGAGGCCGAAGCACCAGTGCTACTGTTGATGGACAAAATCCTGCATGACCCATTATAAGGAATATGCCATAGTTCCCATAGTTTAGAGTCCTTGGGGTCATGCAGGATTTTGTCCATCAGCAGTAGTATACAACACTAAACCTTTGAGCCCGAAGTCCCCGAGAAGCATTGAATCCCACAGTTCTAGGCTTGAAGCTCTTGAAAGCCAGGTCAACAACTGGCGCAGATCCATCCCTTCTCCATGCCTCAATATGACGACTCCTGTTCGACCCTGGGCTGCCGCAGAACTTGGGATTTTAGGCTTTTGAATTGAAATCTTAGGAAGCAAGTAGGTGTTAGCTATGTCGTACCCAAAGTAGCTCAGGAACCACCTCTTTGGCGACATTTGTACGGCTTTCTGTGAGACTGGCTGGGACATCGTGGGCGATGCCATCGCACTTGGGATGAAAGTTATTGTTTTGTCTCCCGTGCGGACGAAGTCTGAACCCTTAAACCCAAAAGCCTCAAATCCGCGGAGCCTGAAACCCCAAACCCCAGAGCGTCAAAGCTTTAAGCTCTCGACTGTAGCTTCCGATAACCTGTCGAGGTAATTGCATAGGGCTTAACCCACGAGAGTTGGCAGCCCCTTCGCGCAGGTCTACTATTGCGATGCCCGCGACAACACCAGCGCTGGGTACGCCGAGTTCGGGACTAACATCGCAGCCCAAGACTCACAGGGGCCGGTTCCGTGGTCGAAACTCCCCAAGGTTCTACAGCCTCGATCCACCTGAACCCTAGAAGAGTTTAGGATAAGCAGAACTTGTATGTTGAGTGGGACAGGTTTCTGTGCTTTTCGCGGGCAGAATTCTTGGCCATTCTTTCCTGGAAGCTAGCAATAAGTCCGGCATTGATCCCGGGCTGGGCGGGGATTGACCTTCGATCCCATATCCGAAACCCGGAGTCGTAGTCTCGGTGACTTCTCCCTTATTCTAATTATTACGGCCCCCTGTGTTAGGCATCGCATGGTCGGAGGTTACAAGCAAGTGGGCCTGAGGTTTCAGACAGGTTATGCTCCCTCAGAGGCTTAATGCGTACGTGTCTGTTTGCCGCCTGAGGACCGACAGCCCCAAGTTTAGAACTTTGAATCCAACTAAGGATTTGGTCTCAGGGCTTTCCGTTGAGGCTTAAAGCCTTACAGCCTCGGAGTTTATGTGTACGATCTCAGGTTTCAGGATGGGGGGCTTACCAGGTTCAACACTGGCCGAAGCCCAAAATTCCAGGTTTGCGTCGGGAAGACCTGCACGATTGGTCTGCCGAGCCAGCGCGGAATTGAGCACGACTGCGCAGGGAACTTAGATCTGGGTTTTCTCGCTCCTGTATGGGAACGAGAAAGGAAAACTATCAGAAGTTTTCATATCCCTTTAATCGTTCTTACACAACCCTATCGTGTGTCCAAAACCCTCGGCTAATTCGAAAGGCTGACGAAACCCCAAACCTTTCACGCGGAATGCAGCGGTCAACTTGTCAAACAAGCTACAAACCAGAGAAACAAACCCCTCAACATATCTCGAGAAGAGTACCAAGGCTGGGAAAACCACTCTGGAGACCTGCACTATCACGGCAAGCTTCGGTTTTGCCATGCTGCCCGCCTGGCAGGGTTTTGGGATTTTGGGGCTTGTTGAGATTAGGATAATATCGCCTGCGCCTGTCTTTAGCCTCGAAGCACCAGAACGGCCCCACAATCCTAAGTCGTGTTTGCTGTGTGCGTAACCCTTAAAATCATGCAGCCCCAACCCCGTAACCCCTAAGCCTTCAGGCGTAAGCCCACCGCCTGGCACAGTCAAAGCCTAGACTGGACTGGAAACCTTCCTTTTACTTAGTTGAATTAAGAAAGCATTCGTTGAGAACTACTCGGTTTGGGGCGCAGGATGTGGGGGTTTTGGGTTTGGGGGTTTAGGGTTCGAGAAGGTCTTGGTTGTCCTATCCTATGAGCAAAATCCCTGAGACGACATTCCGCTGGGAGCTTCCCCCCTTCGTCTGCACAGTTCTTGGGTCAGCCTAAACAAGCCCTCTAGCCGCAACCCAAATCCGATCCCAAACCCAAAACCCTAAACCAGAAACCCCAAAAGCCCTAAAACCCGAAGCTGCGTAAACCCTGAACCCTGAAGCCTTAGTAAACCCTCGCCCACAACCCCACGAAACTCCGAGCTTTGCCACCCTTCGAAGGCCAGCAGCCAACTTGACATGCACTGTAGAGGGCTCTTTCGCCGGCGTGGTGCCAGAGGTGGCTTGGCTTATGCACCCGAAGCTCTTCACTATGGACTCTTGAAGGTCCTATTTTTTCTCTGGCAGGAGGGCTTTCAAGATTGTTCGAAGGCTTCTTACTGGTTCTTTGAGGGCTCTGTGTGGGTTCTTTAGGAGCTTTTTTTGAGTTCTTCAAGGGTTCTTCAAGGGCTAGAGCCTAGACTGTGACGTCAGCCCTACATGCATCCGAAACGTTGCGATGGACCTGGGTTGTTGAAGTGTTGGGAGTTCTTGTTCAGGAAGCCCCAGGCTCTGAGCACTTAGCACAACACGCCTCAATCCCGAACCCCTGAACCCGACACCCTAATCCAATAAGCCCATGAGACGCCTTCGTCTGATTGTTCAGGCCCCGATTCAGCCTGTTTAGGGATGTCGAGTCTCGGATGTCAGACAGAAGAGGGTTTAGGGTTTAGGGGGTTAGGGGTTACGGCTTAGGGTTCCGTTGATGCCGGGTTCCGAGGTGCTCACCTAACTCCTTGGGCTTCTTTTGCGGGGGTGAGTCATTAAGGTTCAGAGCTTCGTTGGAGCGGCGCAAGGCCTTGCAGCCATAGGGAAGCAGGGGTGGGTGCTCAACCTCTTTTCAGAACCTCCGCCCTAAATCCAAGGCAGCAGAGGCGACCTGTCCAACGCCGGACTTCGGCAGTGGCACCGGAAGCACCTGCGCCGGTCGAGCGATAGGCGAAGAGTGCTATGCTTACTGTCTGCCGCTCGGCCGGTTTAAAGGGCCAAGGACTCTTGGGTAACAAGGTGACGGTGATGCTTCTGCTGGCGATGGTTTTGACTTTGATGATCGCGAGAACGATGTCGGGGTGGTGGTGGTGGTGGTGGTGGTGGTGGTGGTGGTTGTAGTGGCGACGACAAAGGTGGGAAATGACCTTGTTTGTGGTGAGATGACTATGATGAAGATGGCGGTGACAATGGTGATGCCGATGATGTTGAGTACGATGTTGACGCTCATTGTGGAGATGTTGCTAGATATTGGTGTTGGCCGTTTGTAGGACGATACTGCGGTGATGACAACGGCGAAGCTGCTGCGCTGTGGCTGATGATGATAATGGTGATATGAGAGTTTCCGAACATAGGGGACCCTAATATAATACCCTAAACAGTAGGATCCTTATTATAAGGACCCCTAAATAGGGTACCCCTAATTTTCGGAAACCCCCATATGGGTAGTGGTGAAGAATGCTGACGGCCAGCAGGACATGATCATACCCACAATCAGACCCATCTTCATGGCCAAAGGGCTTCAGCCCCGAGTTTCCCTAGATTCCAAGCTTTAGATCTGAGGTTCATTGCAGGAATAGAAGGAGCAAAGGAGCAAGTGGGTGCCAGAAGAGGCCCCCACAACAAACCGCAGCCCTGGATATCCGAAGCCAAATAAACTTTTCGGGCTGGCCAGAAGGGCAGCAGAGTCTACAAATTCCCACTGCAGGAGTGGTTTTGCTGGGTCTCCGCAGTTGTACACGTGCCCTGGCTTTCGAGGGTTTGGGGATGAGGGGATTGGGGGAGCATTTGGAGGGTTGAGGGATTCCGAGACGAGGATTTGGGTCGAGGGGTGCGAGGCTTGGGACCGGGCGATGTAAGGATTTCGGGAGTTAGGAGTCTATGACCTTAGGGAGTCAGAAGTCAAGCGTAAGCAACCATGCTCACTGTGCAAGGCCTTAGCCCCATAGCTCCGGAAGGTGCGTTGCAAATGCCACGACCGGGATCATCGACGTGCGGCCAAGTGCTGCCGACATCTCCTGCACGCCCGAGGACGCCCGGGCTTAGTTCTGCTTAATATTCGTATTAATATCAATATTGGTATTGGTATTCGTATTAATATTGGTATTAGTATTCGTATGAATATGAAGTTTAGCTGCAGTTGGCAGTGTGGGAGGAGATTTGGATGCTTCCTCCTTATGATCCTGTACAGGTACCCATTCATTGCTGGTTCTTACATCGTCAGCCTGTATACAAATCGCTAAAACCTTGAGGAAGTAGGGTTCAACGCAGGCTCGCAGGCGTAGGAAGTGTGGTAAGAAAGGGATCGCTTTTAATCAGTGTGTCTTTGTAGCCCCGGAAGCAGTTCCAGTATAACAGGGTCCAGCAGGCAGGGTTTAGGGTCTGGAGAGCAAGTAGGGTTTATGATTTGGGCAGGGTCTGGGGTTTCGGGTGTAGGCTTCATGTCCTCACTTTCGCAGGCCGACCGACGATTGTCGCTGACGGCAGCAAGGCGTTTGTTAACGCCCTGTGATGGAGCCTCCATGAACCACGGCTTCGAGAAGGGTTTTCGAATTAGTGTAGGAGCCTTCGTAGTAAGAATGGTCGTAGGATATCTTATACTCCAAGTCCATCAAGCCGCATTCAGGCTTCTACAGTGATGGTTCCGACATGCCCACACCACCGCGGTATTGAAGTTGCGTTCCTAGAGCTTTAGTAGGGTACAGGGTGGTGGGTTTTTAGGGTTTAGGGTTCAAAGCCCTGTTGATGCTTTCTGGTGTATCTATGCCATGCTACTTCTTGAGTACATGGTTGTCTTCAGCCCAGAATGGCTGGGACGTGAGGCATGTTACGATTCAGGGCGAAAGCCCGTTGATCTGCAAAGCCCCTGCTCGGTGAAAGATGATTCCAGTAGGTCACTTCATAGTCGCTCTACAGGCGTCTTGGCCTTCTTGCCTATGCTCACTCCGCACGCTCAAATCCTCTAAGCCCTGGAACCCAAGCTTTGCCCTGAGCCTTTGAGGCCTAACGCAAGAGAAGCCTACTTGGAGGATCATGGGACTTAGTAAGTAAGGTTATAAGTACCCCACTTGGGGCTATAAGTAGACTTACCCGAATTATCACCCTGTTACTAAGTCCCATGATCCTTTAAGTAAAGCATGGAGCTCCACAAGCTCCGGGGCCGAAATGCAGAAGTCTGAGGCCTTGCAAACCGAGGGTCGACCCCCTTAAGCCCCCTTAAGCACCCTTACACAGAATGTCCCTTCATGTACGATAGTCCCTTGTGGTGGTTGCTACTATGAGGGGCATTCAGCTGACCTAGAACCAAAGCCCAAAGCCCGAAACGCTAAACTTAAAATCAGGACTAACTTTGGCCTGCATTCGGCAGAATTTGTGCAGCTCGGCAAAGTCTCGATTCTACAGCTGCTGGCTTTCACCTTGCATCCCAAGCCCTGAACCCAAATTCCTAAACCCTAAACTATGCGCGCTATGACCTGAACCTCATACCTCCATGTCCTTAACTAGATGTGGAGCTTGACAGACGGTTCTTGGTTGGTCGCAAAGGGGATCTGTGGAGGAGTTGTATATATATATATATATATATACACATATAAATATGAATATACATAAATAAATATGTGTTTCTCCGGTTGTAGGGCCGTTGTCGAGTGCCCAAGCTGTTAAGTAAATGGAAGTCCGTCACGCTTTGGGCAAGATTTGTGGTTGAGGGCTTTAGGATACCGGGGGTTCAGGGCTGGTTGCGGGGATCCGAGCGAGGATTTGCCTGGATAGGGATTTGGCAACTTTGCACCGGGTTTCGCCTTGAAGGGCGGTATTTGGGGTGCCGTCCGTCTCGGGCGCAACGTGCGAATACGGTTCGGCTCTTCCGGCTTTCGTCCTGGTTTAGGGTTTAGGGTTGTCCTTTCGTCCTGTATGACCTGGATCTTACTACCCTAGGCTTGGCTTAGTGCATTTCTTCGAAATGCACAGCGAGATCTGTTGAAGGCGGTCATTGCGACGTTGTAGTGTTTGGGGTCTAGGGGAGTTCCAAAAAAGGGTTCCTGTTACATTGAGTTGAGGTATGTATTCTGAGAAGACGGGACAGCAGCTTAGTACGGGTCCACTTCCCAAAAGGATCCTACCAACGCAAGGCACAGCTGCGATGCGGTGGTGCATGACGTTGCATGGCTGCAGTTGGGAGTTGGGTATCCTCCTACAGTTCCGGGTTTTTTCCGGGATATACATCAGGGTTGTAACTTTCTGAAATGCCAAGTTATTCAGGGTTGAGGACTTTGGTTGGTTGTTGCGTGCTACAGGCGTTATGCCACAAGCAGTGTGGTGACCACTGGGGTTCGTATACGATCCAGGCTACAAAGACTCGGCAGCTGACCTTGCGCAGTGCACGCGACGGCTTGCAGGGGCGCCCTCCGCATTTCTTTCCGAAATCTTCTTAAACCCTAAACTCGAATTCGTTGAGAATCCAATGCCATATTCAGTCGAGAACTTGATGAGTGGCACTTACGACAGTCGCCTGCGTATCTGAGGGTGTTTGGTCGTGTTGGGAGGCCTAGCGGTGCTCCCGGAATGTCCCTCAGGGTCGGTGTTGTTCTCTAAGGTCAAGTGGGCCGTTCGCACATCATCAACCACAAAGTCCCAGTCCGCACACATAGAGTGACTACGAGCCCACCTTTTCCCCTATATCTTTTGCCACCCTCCAACCTGCTATGCCTTGGAAGCGACGGAGGGTCCTGCGGGTCATTACAGGTTTATTCCGCATTTGAAGGTTCACGGGTTCCGGAATGGGTTCTGTCAGGGTTCAAGATTGGGGCTTCGGTGCAGTGGGCTCTCGACACAGTGAGGACGTGTGCATCAGCCATTGTGGCCGTGGCTATGAGATGAGCGGCCACCTGGCGGCAAGATCTATTTTGAGGACTGCTTTATGGATACTTACAGGGTTGGGGAATCAGGAAGTCTGGGGATTTTGCAGCATGCAGTGGGCTGGTTTCGTTTTTCAGCGCTTCGGATCCTGTGCATCCAAGCTCTGGGCATTGCTAGACGCAGTTCCCCACTCGTACAAACAGGGTGTCTATGGTATCCTGTGCCGCTAAAACTCTGATCTTCGTATTCTCTTCCTCATGGTTGAAAGCTCAGACTGCTAAAGAAACTCCAAGTGTCCATAATCTTCCAAAGGCGACCCAACCGTGCTGGTCTGTGACAATGGGACCCTCACCGGTGGCTTCTCGACGGCACGGCGACCCCGCAAACCCAGCGGTTCACGCTTCGGGACAGGGTTTTTTCGTGTGCCAAGAACGGCTAGGACCGCTGGTGGTAAGAGTTTAGAAGCCGTTCTTTGCTCGGAGCGAGCAGCGAGGAAAAGGCTGCTTGTAAGTATGCATTGTGCCTTAGTTAAAGACCCAGGGCTCAAATCGCCGCGTGTCGGAACATTGAGCCCCAGTGCGTTAGACGCACGACTGTGAATCCTGTAGGATTCCGAGCCATAGCAAGCCTCCGAGATCTCCTACCTGGCACAGACGTGCCCGAGCAAAGAGGTCCAAATCACGCCGCCTACGGTCGGCAGGCCTTCCCCTCCGGCCCTCGCAAATCCTCCTTCTCGCCAGGCACCACTCTACTGGCATCCCAGAGAAGCTGCGGTTACTACGTTCCTTGGGAATGGGACGCCGAGACAACCGCGGCCGAGAGCGATGGGAAAACCAAGGCCAAGCTGGATCTACTTTCTCCTTGTGGCGTGGAGCGTATGCTTCGCCCAAGGGCAGACAGGACACTTCGTGGCGGCAAGAGAACTGGCGCGGATGGGAGCAGCCGGCAGCCAGCTTCCCCACCTTCGATTCTGGCAACTACGGCGCCAAGACCAGATCGGAGGACAAGGAGCTCAAGAACGACCCAAGCAGTGGGGACTACCTGAGTGTGTTCCAGACTGCTTTGAACCATGCCCGCAAAGCGGAGCAGAAGGTGCAGCGCCTCGAACAAGCGCGCTTGAAGATGATGAAACAGTGGAGCTCGTACGAGCGCTCGGTGATGGAGTCCTTTGCCAAGGAGAAGCAGAGGTACAAACAAAAGATGGCAAAGTTGGTATCCGACCAGAAGGAAGCGGAGCTACACCAAGAAGTTGCCAGACAGGGCATCCGAGAACTGCACCTTGGCGCTTCCAGTGGTTCTGGAGGCCCTCAGGCAACAGCCATGCACTTGGACACGGTGGACGACGAGACATTGAAGCTTTTCACCGAGTGTGGAGAGCAGCAAGCACCGGATTGGAACGGTGTCCTGGCCAGAGCCATGCAGCAGCCAGCGTCAGTATCCACCCCGGTGAGGCCGCGGACAATTCCACCCCGGACTCCAGGGCCAGGCCAAATGATGGAAGCAGTTTCGGAGCCCATGCCTGCTTCTGCATTCTTGGAACCGGGTGCCAGAACCGATCCGTACTTTGCACCCTCGGCCCCCTCACCGCCTGTGCACACCAGCGCCTGTGCAGGTGCTCCTCCTGGCTTGAGTCCAGGCAGGCTCCCAAACATCCCGGCCAAAGGGCGATGGAAGAGTTGCGAGTGCCCACTTCAGAAGCGCCTCCCAGGATGGGCATCAAGGAGGCCACCAAACTGGTCAAACCTGTGCCACCTGCACCACCAGCTCAGCCGTCTCTGACGGAAAGGCTTCAGGAGAAGCGACACAAAGCCCTAGCCGAAGCGTCCGGTGCAAGCAAGGCAATGACCCCTTTTGGCCTTACTCATCTGGCCCCGGTGTGTGCTCCTTCAGTGGCTCCAGCCGGTTTCCTGGACGACGACCTAGACGACGATTCCGCCCACGAGCTGACCCAAGACGAGATCGACGCTCTCACGCGCAACATGCAGGCGCGGCAGGCGAATGTGGGCTAGCACAAGTTGTACTGAAAGACGCGAGAACTGAGGGTGATCTACGGACTGTAGCCTGTAGGCTCAGGGCCTACGACAGTTTTCGTTTCAACCTTCTGGTCAGCAGGCTATGGTACCTCAGGGAACGGAAAACCTGCCCCCCGGGATCCAGGTTCTTCGTTTCCCTTCCGTACCTTGGTCAATGCTTCCCAGAATGGTCGGATCGAAACGATGCGTATGGCTCTGGGCGGTCTCACACCCTCGACATTCGTGCTTCATGTACAGTTTTGATTTCCGGCAACGCTTCCAGTGTGCTCTGGCTCCGCCTTGTTCAGCCTGGGTTATACTTGCCGTTTCTTGGTTGGGGACCGCATTCGCCAGGCAATGCTGAAGGTAGGGACTGCTGGGTTTGCAGTTTCCACCCCAGTACTTGCCATCCGTCCTCCTTCGCCATGCAGATGCATTGGGCTTTTGCATTTGTGTGTGCGCCCTCGTCTTCTGGCTTTCAAGGTCAATGCGCCCTGGAATTTGGCTGCTACCTTGGCCCGCCTACCTCGCCTTCTCCAAGGGCTCACCTTCCCGCGGTTTCCCTGCACCCCCCTAGCTCAGGTTTAGGCCCGGCCCTCTCCCTAGTACCGAGTCCCTGCGATGGGCAACACCTTTGCCCATGCCTTTCAGTGCAAGGTGACATCGAGCACTCGACCGAATGCATGCAGGTGCCAAAAAGCTACATCGGTGGCTCTGGGGTAGCTACCTCGCATGCTGTTCGGCCTCTTCCGGAAGGGTCCTCATGTGACTCTGTCTTATCAGTGCTGCAGGATGTTTCTCAAGCTGCGGCCCACACCCTTGTCGGTATTGTACTTGTGGCTCTCCTGCTGCTTCTTGCTCACGCTCTGCCTGATCGCTTAAGAAGAGGGTTCCCTGCAGCGCGAGGTGCCTCTCGTTCAGCCGATGTCCTTCGCCCCCTTGTGGGTATAGGATCCCTCTCCAGCCCCCCCTCGGGTTACCCTAGGACCCTAACCCCCAAGCATCTGCGACGGGTTAGACCGTCCCAAATGGGCTGGATATACTCCCACCTCCTCAGGTGGGTCTTGGCGTGGAGCATACCGCTTACTGTCTGGAGCGCTCCTCCCTCTGGCTCCTTCCCCTTGCAAGCATCCCCGCGCCCTCCCAGTGCTGCAGCAGATAGAGTGTACCCGGAGCCGCCTGACCCGCTGGGCCAGGGCATCAGCCTTCCACCTCGACGTGCACCGGATGTTATACATCCCTCTGTTAGCCCACCGAAAGGACCTCCACCGCCATTTCCGGTCCGATGGGAGTTGCCAGCTCTTGCAAGACAAACGGTACCGACTCCTACGCATGACATACAATGCCATGCGTTGATGTTAATCCCGGGTTTCCATGCTGAAACCACTTCCTTCCCTCTAGGTGTTCCATGTGATGTGGAGGACCTGGTTGATGCGGCTGAGCGACGCCTTGGTGTGCTGCGCCCTCAGTTCACCAATAGGGTCATACCGGTAAGGCCCCAACCTCTACCTGAGATCGCCACTCTCTTGGTGGCTCCAGATTGGACTGCCTACTCGTCCCTTTCCCTAATCTGCATGGACCTGAGGGATTTAGGGAATAGGCACTTAGGGCCCCTCACTTCTGCGTACGTCACCAGACCAACGTGTAGGGCCGAGTTGTGCCGACAGGCAGGAGTTTACGGGGTCCGGTCTTGCAGGATCTTTATCGGGACAGAGCTTCTCCCCTTGGAGGAAGACGAGGCTGTGACACTGGCCAACGGATGTGTGGTGACCTTTCTTCAAGGTGACCTTTATCCTAATCACGCTACGGATTTGCAGTATAGGTTGCAGCTCCCTCACACATGGAGGTTGGAGGTCACCATACCAGAGGTGTCGCGGCCTAGGGCCCTACTGCTCCTGCATCAGACAGGCAGGTACCTCTTTCGTGCACAGGCCAGCCAAATACCCGTTGACGAGTCAGCTGCAAGATTCGTGGGAGTTGCCAGAGAGGCTGTGGAATTCCACGCGCCACGAGGAGAAGGTTGTTCGCGCCTCCAACATCAATGTGTGGACACAAGAGGTGTTCTTGCGCTGGTTGACCCCACCACCCTTCCTCCAGACGCCCCGCAATATGTGGTTTTCTTGGACCTCCGACAGGTCGCTTCCACAATCCAGTTCTTGGTTTTGGATAGGCCCTGGATCCCTAAAGTAGATCTGCAAGCTTTGGCTGGCCGACAGCCACCCCCAGGCTGGCGCCTTCGCATCCTAGGAGGCCATATGCGGCGTAACCGTCTGGAGTTCCGCCAGGGTGATACCCTAGTCTTCGGGTTTGAATATGTCGATATGGTTTCCGACAGTTCGGCCAACCCCGATACCTCCTCCTCTGAAGACAACCATCCTGAATCCGAGGAAGAGGGCGACACGGACGCACAGGACACGACGACTGCCCCTGCGGACTCCGACGGCGAACACTTGTTCGCAGACGACCCGAGATTCCTACGTGCAGCTTCCTTGTCTAGAGACAGGTCCAGGTCGAGGTCACCCAACAGACCCCGTGCCTCACCATCTAGGGCACCGGCGGGTCTCCCCGCTGGCATCCTCACTGCAGCGTTGAATGCGACCTCGCCCACTGAAGCCGAAGGGTCGCAATTTCTTGTGAGACACCTGAAGCTCCCCGGGTCCGGGCGCTTCCCTGCATGGGGCTTTGCAGTTCACGACTTCCCTTTGGGTTATGCTGTGTGCCTGACCATCGCCCTCCTGTGCACCTACACCCTTCTAAGGGGTTTGCTTAGGCATAGGAGCTCCCCGTCCTCTAGGCACTCCTCTGCCCTGCAACCCATATGCTGCAAGACCTTGGCTCCTCTACCATGCAGCGGTTCCGCCGACAGGCAGCGCGTTCGAAGACTCCGCCGGGTAACCCGAGACTTTGGCGATGACTGGCCCTTACCCTTGGATGATGAATCGCCCACAACCTCCTCCGAAGAGCCGGATTCTTCTGAAGACGTCTCAGATACAGGGTCAGTTGCATGGGCCACCGTATTGATTTACGCGCCCCAATATGCTCCAGAATGGCTGACTCTGGCCCTTCACTTCCCGAGCACTTATGAAGAAGCTGTGGCCATAGTTCAGACTGAAAGAGATCTCGTCTCGGCCAGGAGATTCCCTTTTCTGACACCGGCAGACCCGCAGCCCATCCCAGGAGCCGGTGTTTTTGTGGCACTAGCTCCCATGGAGCAGGCACAAAAGATCCTTTTCATGGATGCCACCCGGTGGGATGGCCGCCACTTCGCCACGCTGGCCCTGGACTATATCAGCCCCACTGTGCTCAGGAATTTATGTGGTCTTGATCCTGCTTCAGATGCGAACT